TACAATAGTTTAGATATTGATATCCTAGAATTAAATCCAGCCATTAAATTGATGCCTCTAGAATCAAACTGGCCAGAAGAAAGATAGTCTTCAAACATCACACAAAAGGCCACATGAAGTAGAAAGGATTATAATAAAGGGGTCCAAACATACCTAGTTAAGGAATATAATGATACTGGTAGAAGATACTTTGTTTTGTTAAGATGCCTCTATACTTACATCTACTACAGTTACTTCATTAAGCCTGATTGCCTTCTTAATTATTTTAATTTAAAATATAATACTTATATTATGAGTCATATAAATAGCATGTTAGATATAGAGGACAAAAGAGAAAAAAGAGATCAGACTCATGATAAGTAACAACTTTGACAAGACCCAGGAGTATTTTTCTTGAAAGCTCCAACAATTATTTATCTCTTCTGAAGCTTGTTGTACAGCCTACTACTTAGCTCAATATATCCTAGGCATGAAACTTCCCAGTTACTAGGGACACTATATTATAATATAAAATAAATAATATGTGCCCTCCAGTATACACAAAATATGATGCATGTCCAGCATGCCAAACTGTGAATGAGAATTCTCAGGAAAAAGCATTGCCTGCTAAAACTGGCTGAATGATTAGAACTTAAGTAATGTGGAGAGATTGAAATGTATTAATCTTAAAATTAATATATCTTAGGACATCATTATGGCCCTTAACAGCCTTTAATTACTGCCCTTTGTACACGATCTAACATCCTTTGTGATCATTACCTACTTCCTTTGCAATGTATAAGCAAACTTCTAGTTTCTGCTAGTCAAAGTGCTATCAGAGAAAATCTAAATCATTTTTCTGTTACCTGACTCCCCAAAGCACCCAGCAATATATTTGAAAGTGTGTTATTTATTTCTTTGTTCTGCAGTAACAGAAATATAAGAAGTTACCTTATTTAAACATGGTGTTTGTGAAGACCTACATCTGTGTTCAGAAACCAGTCATATTTGTCTTCAGAATAAACCATTTTTTATTCCTTTACATTGAAAGTTATTTCTCTCTTTAATATGAACATAAACTCCAATCCCTAAATATGTGTATTTTCAGGGTAAGTACTATGATATGGCTTGTAGCAGTTTTTCTATTTTTTTTTAAAGTATTATCTATAAGTCTCTATTGCTAAAGAAAACACTTACTTATGAAAAGTTGAACTGGTGCCTAACTACAACCTTAATCTCTATTTATTAGAATTTATGATGAAACATGAGTTACTTGTCCTGCTACCAGAAGCAAACAGTAATCATTAATATCACCCAGCTACAAATCCTGTAACCTACAAAAACAATCTAGGTGTAAGATACACTAGTAAGGTAGTGCCACAAATGTTATGGAAATAACTCACAACTGCTTGATTGGACTCACAGTCCACTCCAAGAGATGGAATCTGTATGGGACATTGCTGAAGTCGCTAACACCCTGAGACTAGATACGCCATGAAACTAGGGGAAAGCTACTACTTTCATTCTGCTAAAGGTACACAGTAATAAAATGACTCCTAATGACATACTGCTATACTCATAGATCAGTGCATTGATTAGGCCTTATCAGAGAATCTTCTTTTCAAAGTAGATGGTAATTGGTACAACTGGACAATGTATGAGAATGAAGGACTTCGGAGCATTCGGTCCTAAAAACTGGATGCTTTCATCAAATCCCTCACCTTAAGGCTTCAAAATGAAGTACTTTGGAGTATTCAGTCCTAAATGGGATGCCTTCCTCAACCCTCGCCTTAAGGCTTAGGTGCTCTGGCACAATGGTTTGTAGCCTGTCAATTGTATTTTAATAAAATGCTGATTGGTCAGTATCTAGGCAGGTAGTATAGGTGGGACAAGCAGATAGGAAGTAGAGGCGGGAAATGAGAACAGGAGAATTCTGGAAAGAGGAAAGCTTTGTCTTCAGTCCTGACCTGGCCACAGAGCAAGCAAGATATAACTGCTTTACCGAAAAAGGTACCAAGCCAAGTGGCTGACATAGACAAGAATAATGGGCTAATATAAGTCATAAGAGTTAATAAGAAGCCTGAGCTAATGGGTCAATCAGTTTATAGTTAATGTAGACCTCTGTGTGATTTCTTTGGGACTTAACAACTGTGGGAGCTGGGCAGGACAGAAAACTCAGTCAACACTCGGGGTTCTATATGAAAGAAGAGGTATATTATTATGAGTCAGGGATTATGGGTGACTCTAAAGAAATAGTATTCTCCAGGCACAATAGGACTGATGTGCATATGGACCCATAGGATTATGATAGCATGCATAGGACCTAAGCAGAATCAAGCCAGATAAAGTCCCAGCACTGAGAAGGGGAAGTGGACACATGATTTCACCCCTAACCAAAAAGGTATTTACAAATGATACCCACTGACAAAGTAAAATCAATTTTCTTCAACTCCAGTGGAAGGTTTATTAGCCACTTCAGAGCAGGTTCCATTCCCAGGAGTAGTTGGTTATCACAAAACAAACCCCAAGGATCACCAGTACTTTCATCAGCTTGACTTCATGCTCCTGGAATATTTCGTTGAGTGAAATTAACTTTGTGTTATGGTCATGGGATCCCAAAGTTGACTGAAGAAGGATGATAAAGATAAGACTGACTTGTGGGGAAAAGACAAATTACACGTGGAATTGTGACTATACAGATGTGACTGTAGATGGAAAAAGAAACTTAAGATCCAGATGGGTTGAACAGTTTGCATGAAAAATTCAGTCACAAGTTGTTATTGCTTTGGGACATCCTTACACCATGTGGTGATTTGAATAGATATGGTCCCCCATAGACTTATGTGTTTGAATGAGTGGCCTATAGGGAGTGGCACTATTAGGAGGATTGGTCTGTTGGAGTAGGTGTGGCCTTGATGGAGGAAGTATGTCACTGTGGAGGTGGGCTGTGAGGTTTGATATATGTTCAATTGTGCCCAGTGACACAGTCTCCCTCCTGCCTGCAGATCAAGATGTAGAACTCTCAGTTTTTCTCTAGCACCATGACTGCTTGGATATCACCATGTCCTGTCATGATGATAATGGACTAAACTTCTGACACTGTAAGCCAGACCCAATTAAATGTTCTCCTTTATAAAAGTTGCTGCAGTTATGGTGTCCCTTCATGGCAATAGAAACCCTAACTAAGATATACCAGGAAATTAAAGAGACCCTATTAGTAGAGTTTTTAGTGTCAGAGTCTGGGACTTCGAAGCTCTTAACAAGCTCGGCTCAGCAATTCATCCTTAATAGGCCAATTAAACAAACAAAAAATAGCAAAACTCATGAAGGGAATTTATTCAGTGATACCACATTGGGAAGAGAAACAAGGAGATCCAGTTTGCAGCCCCACAGGTCCATCTTTATGTTCCTAACATGAGTTTGGGGTTTATAGCAGATCACAAATTGAAGATTGAAGATGAGATTCCTGGAAACTTCCAACAGCATGTTGTCTATTCCTTTAATAGTCTGATAGCCAAAAGAAAGTGAAAATGCCCTTTCTATGGAAGGGATTACCAGCTTGAGGTTGATGTTAAAGTGACTGGGAAATGTGCTGTCTTTACAGTGCCTGATATCTAGAGTTTTTATGAAAAATCATATCTCAAATAAAAATGTTAAGGGGAAGCCAGACAGTGGTTGTGCTTGCTTTTAATCTCAGCACTCTTGAGGCAGATGCAGGCAGATCTCTGTGAGTTCAAGGCTAGCCTGGTTCACAAAGAGAATTCCAGGACAGCCAGGGAAGAGAAACCCTGTGTTGAAAACAAAACAAACAACAAAACAAAACAAAAAATGTTAAGGGAATGCTAGTTTGATTTTAGGGTTTTAATAACTTTATTTGGCTTGCATTAAGGAATTACTTTAGCATTTGTTGGGTGTGAGTTTGCCTCACTTTGTGTCTCAAAACAGCATGTGGTGAGATTCTTAAGTAAGTCTTTCTAAAGTGAGAGAAATTATATGAAGAAGATGAAAGAAGAATAAATCAGAAGTAAAAAAGAAAGGAGTATGAGAATGAAGCAGATGATAAAGGGCAACAGTAGCAATAACAGCAGTGGTGATGAACAAACATTATTATTACTTAATGATACAAGCCTTTTGAGTTGAAGTAGAAACTAAATATTTAGTTTTCATTAAAACTATCAGGCAACTAAGATGTAGCTTAGTTGGTAGACTACTTGCCTATCATGCATAATGCCCTTTTTTACATTGCTATCACTGCTTAGTATTATGGTGTCATGATCATGGTATTATGGTGCATGCCAGTCATTTCAGTATTCAGAAACTAGAGGCAGGAAAGAGCCAGAGGCAGTAAGAAAGGACAGTCAAAGCCATTCTTGAGTATATATGAGATCTGAGGGCAACCTGGATACATGGCAGTGTATCTCAAAATTAAACCAAGCCAAACTAAACTGGTAAAAAGTTAGCAAAAAACAGGAGTGGAAATAAAAAGGTCAAAAATGGAGAATCAGTACAGATATACTTGTGGAAAATTGCTTATAATCATAGCTTTACTTTTGAGTAGTATATAAAACCATTCATTCCACTAGGACTCTCTGCATAATTATAACCCTTAGTCTCACATGGATGTAGTAGCCATCAGACATAGGTGGCTACTGAGTACTAGAAATGTAGCTATGGTGATTGAGGGATTGAATTTTCATTTTAATGAATTATAACCAAATTTCAAATAGTCACTAAAATAATTTGCCTTACTTAACAGTGTGTGTATTGCAGCATTATGTCTTTCACAAGTAATTTAAAAATACTGGTTTCGAGACAAGGTTTCTCTGTGTAGCCTTGACTGTTCTGGAGCTCACTCTGTAGAGCAGAATGGCATCAAACTCACAGAGATATACTCACTTCTGCCTCCCAAGTGCTGGGATTAAAGGCGTGCACTACCACTGCCTGGCTTTGAAATATTTTGAATACACAAAATTTTATTATTTCTCAGAAAGGAGGCTTCTAAAATGAAGTGGCCGACTTACCCTCAGTCACAGGATCTTCCTCTTCCTGTTCAGTGGGGGAGGGAAGTAGGGGCTGCAGGGGCTCCATGTTAATGATGAGCTGTTTGTTCAAGGAGTGAGAACTGCGACTCTGAGTAATGTTGACTCTAAAAACAGATACAAGCCAAATAAATTAGTGTCTACTGCAAATGCTGGCCCTACTCTCTGGACACATAAAGAGATTAATGCTGATAGTAAAAACGTCCTAACATTTAAGACACGTGGTTCTCCTAGTCATTAGATTCCTGACAAATGTTAACAAATTCTATTCAGCTTGTGAAAGAAAATAAAGTTACCAAGATGTCATAAGACAAAGATATGCTCGGTAACAACACAAGAAAATCTTAAATAGACACAGGAAACAAAGCAGGGATTCTCCTAGCCCTGAATTAGACATGTAGAAATGTAAATGACAGTAGCTCAGTCCCACTGAACCACCACCACATATCTTGCTTGGACAGAGGACACAGAGAATCTGCAACTGTGAGTTATCTTCATGTTGTCAGATGTCCAGTGCTTAAGATTTTCATTCATGTCCTCCTTAGCAGACAGCCATGAACCTTAGTTCTGGTTCTCCTTTGGAAAGACATGTGTACAACAGAGGCTACGACAAGTCACAAATGGCAAGGAAACGGTTGGGATCTCATTAAAACTATTGATGGGCAGCTAGAAGTCCACTTGTATTGCCTATTGTAGGGAGAACAGCTGGGGACCCCTTGTAGAGGGAAATGGAAACCTGAAGTTATACATTAAGTACTTAATTTTCTCCAGTTTCCTGTCAAAACCAAACCAACCAGTCTTTTGAAAATGGTGTCAAATGTTTCCTCTTCGAAGCCTTCCTGGTTGGTTCCTCATAACAAGGCCTTGTGCTTTTATTCCCTCCTTTTTCTCATACTTCCCCCTCTTCTGTCACAGTTCATCATGTCTGTTACTTCTGTTAATTTACAATTATTATTGCACTAATCAGCCCCATTCTGAAAAGACTTCTGGCCATTCTTAAGTGTCTTACAGTGTCTCAACTGATACCTTCTTATAAAGTTTTCTACTCTTAATCTGAATTAAACTGAGTACAATCTTAGCTTGACATAACCTGGAATTTCAGAAAAAAGGATCTTTTCAAGCTTGACATTTCTGTTAGGACTTTCATGGGAAGCCATGGAGTAGGATGCCTATCGTGAATTGGAAACTTTTACAGCTGCCATTGACTGCACAGGGAGTTGTTTTCAGAGTCATTTCTTCTTTTATTTCGTTCTAGAAACTGATCCTAGAACTGATGACTATGTATTAGATGATCTGTTTCTTTTGATGATTAATAGCTCTCCCATTAAGGAAGTCACTGTTTAGAAGTAACATTTTTATTTTTTAAAAAATATGAGGCACATATTATGAAATACATTTTGCATCATCTATCCTCCTCCCAACATTCTTCATCTGGAGATGTTGGATATTTTGATATTCTTTTATAATTGCATTGTCTAACAACTGCTTGGTTCTAGGACAGGCTGGGATAACTAGGGTTGACATCCCAAGTATAAGTCCATCTTGGTACTGGATGAAAGGTGGGGATAACTTGGCCCCTATATATAGGTTCATATTGCTTCATTGTGGTAGAGGTCTATGGCTGATGGTTATGCCTAGGGTTAGGGCAGATGACTCTTCCAGGCCATTACAAATTTCAGATTTTAAAAAATATGACAGAGAAGGACACAGATTTTCCATTAAGTAAAAGACTCACATAAACCAGAAAGCGTTTCCCACAGCACAAAATTCTAGAGCTCTAAGCCATAGGATAGCTTGATGACTTGAGGAAAAGATTAAAGGAAGTTAATGAAATAATTGGATCTCTCCCATCCCCTTCTTATTTCTATGGTCTGAAATTATCATTTTGTCCTTTAAAATCCATTTGTTAAAAAAAATTCCATAAAAAAGAGGACAAAATTTCCATTGTAATGGTACTAAGAGTCAGGGCATTTGGATATAATTCCATCATGAGAGCCTTCATGAATTGTCTAGATTCCTTACAAAAGCACTCTGAAGGCCAGTGACTGTCTTAGTAGATACGGACATTTGCCATCATAACTGATGGACTGGTCAGTGGGGTGGCTCATTAGGTAAGGTAATTTGCCACCATAACTGATGGACAGATATTTTTTAATTCCATGACCCCATAAAATAAGGAAATAACCACTCTTTTAAGCTGTCCTCTGTCACCTATATACATGCCATAATGAGTTCACATGTCGTTGTATGCAAAATATCCAGTATGTTGTATTTTGCTATAGAAACTCAAATATCCAACGTCTCCTATTTCCTTTAGATTAGAAATTATGCCAATCTATCTATTTGGAATGGTTGTAAAGAGGATTACTGACATGGGGTTGATTGAGATAAAAAGGCTCACTGGCATGGTGGCTAAGGACAAATACTTAAAAGACAAAAATCTGAATGGCCACTTCATTTTACATACTGGTTTGTATACACTCTGCTCATCTTTTACACCTCTTAGTGTGCTTATAAGTAACATATAATAAGTATATTTGTATTTATGAGAGAAATTCATTAGTGCCCACCCACCAACAAAGGTCCTAGGCTAACTGACAAAGCCCAAGTGCCAGGCAAAGAAAATGTCCCTTCTAGTTGTTGATCAGAGATGCATGTGTGGTGGTCCAAGATACCCTCAAAAAATATAGGTTAGGGCATTGCTCCTGGCTGTCTCCTAAACCTTGAAGGCAAGATCCCATTGCAGAAGACACAACATTTTTTAGATGCTTGATTTGGAGGAATTGAGTTATAATTGTCGTGGAAGTCTCCTCTCTGAGGACTAGCTGTCATAGTATCAGAAGGTGCTATAAAAACTGCCAAGGGGGCGGGGGAGATCAATTATCCTACTCTGCTTTAAAGCCTGTAAACCAGGAGAAGAAACTGGTGAAATAATCCTAATTGGGCAACAGTGGCATTTTTATGATTGAGCTAAACAGCATCTGTCTAATTGTATTAAAAGATTAATTAATGGGACATCATGTGTGGTACTGTCAATCTAGCCTTCTACCCATGGCTGAAAATGTGTTAACTCCTAGGAGAACCTACTATTGGATTTTCCTAAATCAGTATAACTTGCAGCAGTTTTCTAAATAGTTTTGCCTACAGATAACTTAGTTTTCACCCCTCATCAAAGAAGCTTCATTTACTATCAGATGGAGTCTATATAAAAATCCACAACTGGTCAAAATGCAGAGAATATGTGAGCATGATGTGCCCAGCCTCAATCAGTATCTTTACAACAAACTTCTATACCTAAGGCTCAGAGAAGATTACAGAAGAGTGCATGGAAAGATTGTAAGAGTCAGAAGATGAGAATGCCTGCTGAAAGATAATTTCTTTCAGTAATAAATGGAAAGCTGGATCCATAAATCTCAGCAATGTTGTATCTGGACAAGATCTGTATAAGCAAAATATCAGTTGCCATGTCAATATGGATGAGGGAAATTTCACAAGGCCCCCACCTTTAGATGAATAGATACTGGCAATCTATGGCTGCTGAGTTAGATTGAATTTTCTCCAGGGATGATCCTCCAATATTCAATTCTAAGTAGTCTGCCTAAACACATATACATACAAGTAACACTAAATGAACTCAGTAGGTTTATATGCATGTGGTGCATATGTGTGTACCCGCATGTACATTTAATATGCATGCAAGGCTATGCATGCATATATATGCTTGTATATATATGTATATAATGTGAATTACAGAGAGTCTGTTGCATGGGAAGAGTTGGAATGGAGAGAGGGAAGTGTCGAAGTGATTTAATATACTCATTTATGAAATACTAAAAAAAACTAAATAAAAACAAAGGAGTTACATGGGCAAAACTAGAATTCTAAACTTTATCTAGTACTTTGTTTTATGTCACACTTTCTGGTTTTTTTTTTTTTTTTTATTTTTCGAGACAGGGTTTCTCCGTAGCTTTTTCGTTCCTGTCCTGGAACTAGCTCTTGTAGACCAGGCTGGCCTCGAACTCACAGAGATCAATCTGCCTCTGCCTCCCTAGTGCTGGGATTAAAGGCATGCGCCGCCACTACCTTATGTCACACTTTCTATGTTAGTGAGTGTACAGCATCCCAAAGGGATTTGTTTTACAACTAATGTTTTGAATTTGGGGTTCTATAAGAAGGCCCCATGGTGCCAACCACTTTTCTAAGAATTTTCCAGGGTTCAAATTGGCTTCTACTTTGTCCTTCCTCCTCATATCCTGTGGTGTTTTAGTTAGTTCTGTAATGCTATAAAAAGTGTGGAACATTTGTAATATACAAATAAGATGAATTTATTTAGAACACAGTCTAGAAACTAGAAAAATCCGAAAAGCATTGTGTAGTCATTGCCTTAGCTCCTGATGAAGGTCATATGATGGGCTACCTCACAGCAGACAAGGCAGAAAAACAAACTAGAATGTTCCAAAAGGCAAATGTGAGGAATTATTATCTTGAAGAAAATCAATAATTTGGTTCTCACAAGAGAACGTAATAGCATCAAGCAATGAAATCCATCCGTGAGGGTAGTGTCTCCATGATACAAACACTTTTCACATAGTCCTAGTTTTAATTTTCTCACCTCCTCACAACTGTTCTGTTAGAATTAAGGTTCTGGTATAGGGACTTTTGTGGACACCCCAAATTTTATCATGGAGTAACTGATGCCTATGCCAAGTAAGAACATGTGCTGTATTTGTACACTTATAGATCCCATTCATTAGCTGTAGAAATGACTCTCCTAGTTTACAAGCCATACCTGTTCAATAGCATCCAAATAAAACTGTTATTAAGAATTCTATTGCAGGAGGAAGGCTGGTTGTGGCAAATTAAAGTAGATTATAACATTGTAAGATAAAATTTGTGTAGACATTATTGATTTTTTTCCTCAGTGTGAGAAAAACATGTATCCAAAGATGAGAAAGGTAAAGTTACACAGCTGGATTGTAAGCTGATGACAAGTAAGTGCCGGATTCAAATGGTGACGAAACAAAATGAGTACATTGACGTTCATGACAGTCATTCACTACTCTATGACCGGAGGAAGTAGTGCTGGTCTACTGTCTGAATGGATTTGAATATGAATGTATTTTCCAGAGTCTACCTCCACATTTTTACAAGGTTGTGGTTGGAACCAGAGGTATTCCAATGCTACACAAGTGCTCCGTTACTGATCTGGATGTTAAGATCTAACTGCCTTGTTCTAAATGAATGAGAATAATGATATCATTGCTTTCCATGTGTTTGTCACTTTACATTTAAAAAGTTTTTTAAGCCCCCAACAAAATCTAAAACTAGGTCAAGGCAATATAAAAATCGCACTTCATAGATGGGTAAACCAATAATCTAGGAAATTCAGTGACTTACCCAAGGCCACAGAGCTGGCAGGCAATGTAGCAAAGATTAAAATCTATTCATTTTTGTATCAGAACATTCTTGTATCTTGCTGGTTCTGGGTGTTCTGTGTGTCCCCTGGTGGTGGATGCTATGCTCCGAGCTGCAGCCCTCCATCTGATGTGGCCTCTTGGCTAGGCTCAGGGATTCTTCCCCAGCAGCCAGCCCAGGACATCTTTCCCCAGGATCTTCCCATGCCATCAATAAAGGCCAGTGAACTAACGTCAGAGTGAGCTTCTCTTTCTGAAGGAAAGAATAAGCCTAAAATATTCTCAGTCTGTTTGGTTTCTCTCTCTTTATACATATATACTTTTCCAGAAGCAACAGCCTATGAGCCTATAATTTTTTTTTTAGGAATTGAATTTCAGGTGTGGGGAAGGATGTTAAATTAATAACTTATTATTGCCATTATAAACTAACATCTTTTCTGAAGAGTTCCCACAAAATATAACCTCATTACTACAGTTTTACTTTTGATAGCCACATTGAAATGCCAAAATAGTTTAAAAATAAAATAATGGTCCAAGAGAAACAGGCCTCCCAAGCAAATGACTTTTAGGAAAGTAAAAATTACATGAAAGGGTTGCACATTATTACTGCTCTGACCACATGGTGCCTCTGGAGAGGTCAAGGGCTTTCTGAATAGCATCTTGGATACATCTCATGTCTAAGAAAATGGCTAAATCTCCTATCTATTGAAAAGAAGAAACTAAGAGATCCTTAAGGTTATTTCCTATCCAAAGTTTCTGGAAAAGTAAACATGGTATATTCTATTATCCCCATCTTCCTTTCTCCTATGCTAAACTGTTACAGCTTAGAAGAGAGGAAGAGTACTCTAAATCCTCTTCTGATCTTTCAGCAGCCTGACACATATTTAGATGGTGCATCAAGGTACCCTCAATCAGAGCTTCTATATTCTCTGACCCTGAAGGTTTGTCCTATTTTTTAAAGCTAGAGAAACAGCTTTTACAGATCTGCATTGAGAGCTCCCCTTAGGACTCCTCAAAAGCAGGAATAAGTCAAAAGCTGAATGCATCTGAATCAGGTCTTCTGAAGCCTTCAGTTGTGCTCAGCTTCTTGGGAAACAGGTAATGTAGAGATGCTCTTAAATGTTGGGGGAGGTCACAGGTACCTTCTGCCTGTAACTCCAGGAACAAGGTGGAGTACCACTGAACTCATCCAAAATTATTGCAAATGGAGGAAATTCAGAAAATCTAGACATCAAGGAAAAACTTGCGTTCAAAGTTGAAGAAGGAAAGACAGGTGCCAATTGTCTTATGAGAAAGTCCCTAAATAATTTAGCTTATCAGAAGTGGAGGAGGTCTGATGGGGAAGCATGGGAGATAGGAAGGGATGTTTTGGAGATGGGATTTGAAAATGAAGTGGAGATGAAGGTGAATAAGAACAATATATATATATATACATATATAAATATATCTTATATATATAAATGCTATAATGAAGCCCATCATATCACCTAACTTAAAAATTAAAATAGGCTATAATGATATTACCTTAAAAGGGGTGGTGTCATGGTAAGACTGTTCACTTTAAGGTATTCATGATGTTTGAAACATAGGCTATACATTAGGCTTAAATTGTTGTCATATAAGTCAGTATGGAAAAGAAAACACAAACACTTAATCTCTAAGAACTAATTATAGATTGTCAATTTAAAGAAGATGTGCGGAATGTAGGTAGGAGGATGAGAACTTCAAAGTTATTCTAGCTATTTAGTGAGCCTGAGGTTATCTTGGGGAACAGGATACCATGTCTCAGAAAAAAGTGTGTACTTTGATCCTAATAATGGTCATGCCTCTCATCCCATAGTTTGGCCTTTGGGAGTATAAAAGCCATATGTAAACTGTTTTTAAATTATCATATAGAAAAGCACACTGCTAAAGAGAAGGACCGGAATAAGGCCTTTCCATAAGGCCAAGCAAATCAAACCTTTGATCAGGTACAAAGGTATTCCAACGTACCTGAGGTGACTTATGTTTCTTTATAGTATGAAAACACGCACTCCTTAGTGAAGGCTTAGATTCTAATGAAACATGAAATGCATGATGTTGTGTGTATGACTTTATGTAGCAGAGCATGTGTGAAAAAGCTTATGATATGCAAATAAACCCAAAAGACCATATAATATTAAAAATCCTAATAATTTGTATTATGTTGCCTTTTGAACTGCTATTCTTTTTTCTTTCTCCATCCCACTTTTGCCTTTGGGAACTCTTTATCTTTTCCAACAAATTGTCATTGCTCTACTGTAACTGTATGGCTCTGGTTAATTTATTTCTCAGGGATAGAAGAAGCTAGAAACTCTCCAGATGTGTTCATTTTATTTTAAATTCATCAGATACCACAGGGATGGATTACTGTTCAGTGGTAGAGAAGAAGTCAGAGCAGTAAGCCTGACCATGTCTGATGAGGATATGGTAAGAGCTATTCTATGAGGGCACTGTGACATGGTGATGGAGCCATCCAATGGCATTTTCTTACTTAGTCATGAGGTATTCTAGACCCAATACCTATCTGCATATCAAGTTACCAAAGAGGGAACCAAGCTGTTGTCAAGCCACAACCCTGTCAAATCTGAGGAAGATTTTGAGGGAAGTAAATGTCTTGACTTCATGCTGCATGTCACTATATAAAGAGATAGAAGAGAGGAATCAGAAAAGTTAGGACAAAAATTATTTTTTGCGCTGTTGCAGAATGAATTCAGAGCCTCATGTATGTTAGTCTAGCTCTTAAGTGCCTTTGTCTGTCATGGAAACACCCTCCCCAAAGCCAGAAGGGAGCACCCCACTCACCTGTGCACCTCAGGAGGGTCCCTCTGGATTTTGGAGCTTGCCTCCACCACCTCTTTGGCAACTTTACCACTATGAAATACACAAATACAATGCATGTGAGTAGATACTCCAAGGAAATGGGGAAGAGTATGGACATGCTCTAGATTTGGCTCCAAGGGTCCATCTCTTCCCATATTCCATGAGAAAAATTTACGAGGAGGTTTAGGTTGTCTTGTCAGGAGCATAACTCAATGGATTGGGAAGCAGACTAACAGAGGATCATAAACACAATATCTACAAACAAAACATTCTAATTTAAATGGGTGTTTCCCCCCACCCATCACTGCAATGGATCCATTGTTACTCACCTATATCGAAATCTACTTCCTTTAAAAAATATCTTGCTGCTCGACACAGTCTTGATCTGACTTGACTTGGCATACCTTTAAGGAAAAGCATAGCAGAGGTGGTAGTGACCTGAATCAAGAATTCTCAAAAGAGGAAAAAATGACTAAAAACCATCTTATAAAATGATTCATCATCTTAGGAACTAGGGAAATGCAAATTACCCCGCATAATACCTATTTCTAGTCCCATTTATATCTGTGACTTTCATAACTTTTTTCTTTAGAGCTGAATGAAATTCTATTATTTGTATGTACAACATTTTCATAATCTATTCTTCAGCTGATGAGCGACCTAGCTATTTCTAATTCTGATCAATGTGAATAAATTAGCAAAGATGATGGATGAGCAAGTATCTGTGTAGCAGAGTAGACTACTTTGGAATGATATAGTTAGATCATATGGTAGATGTTTTTAGCTTTTTGAGGAATTAATATATTGATTTCCACAGAGACTGCATCAGTTTGTACTCCTAACAAGAATGAATATGCATTACCCTTACTTTTTATCCTCCCTAAAATTTGTTGTCCTCATTTTTGTGATCTTAGTAATTATGACTGAGGTGAGATGAAATGTCAAAGTAGTTTTGATTTTCATTTCCCTGAAAGTTAAGGATGGCGAGCCTTTAAAAAATATTTCTTAGCCAAACCTGTCATTTTCTGTAACCAGGTATGATTTCCAGTGGTAGGACTGGAACACTAACCCAGACATAAAATCTTCAACCTACAACCTTCCCTATAATGTGGGATGTCCTTCTGTATATGTGTTGCTTTTATTGGATAATGAATAAAACTGCTTTGGTCTATGTTAGGGCAGAATAAAGCCAGGCAGGAAATTTGAAGAAATATATATATATATATATATGTATATGTGGAGTCAGGCAGACATCATGTAGCTGTCAAAGGAGAAAGATGCGAGAACCTACTGGTAAGCCACAACCTCCTGTGATACACAGATTAATAGAAACAGGCTAATTTAAGATATAAGCGTTAGGTAGGAATATGCTTAAGCCATTGTCAAAGCAGCATTGTAAATAATATAGTTTCTGTGTGATTATTTGAGTATGGGCAGCTGGGAAATGAAAAGAGCAGTCTTTGTCTACAGTACTGCCTATGAGACGTGCTTGGGCACTGGTGGCTCAAGGTTGTGGAAGTGGTCAACCAGTGCCACTGAAGGGAGCCCAGGACCCATTTTTCCTGACTGGCCTGTGATTGATTACTTGCTGATGCAGAGACCTAGAGTAGAAACAAACATGACTGACCAAAACTTAAAAGAATAAAATCAATGAAATGATTTCTGGTAGTATTCTGCTATACTGATAGATTGCTGCCTAGCACAATCATTATCAGAGAGGCTTCTTCCAGCAGCTGATGGGAACAGATGCAGAGACTCAGAACCAAACATTAGGCAGAGTTCAGGAACCACACAGAAGGGGAGGAGGAAGCATAGTGGGAGCCAGAGGGATTGAGGACACCAGGAGAACATGGCCCACAGATCAACTATGCAGGACTCATAGGGGCTCACAGAGACTGAAGAAGCAATCACAGAGCATGCATTGATCTGTGCTAGGTCCTCTGCACATAGTTGTGGCTGTTTTGCGTGGGGTTTTTAGGGACTCCTAATAGCAAGAGTCTGCGTGTTTCTGACTCTTTTGCCTACTTTCATGATTTTTCTCCTACTGGATCTCCTAGATTGCCTTGATATGAGGAATTGTGCCTAGTTTTATCACATTTTGTTATGCTGTGTATGGTTGAAAACCCTTGGAAGCCTGCTCTTCTCTGAAAGGAAAGGAAGGCACAGTGGATCTGGTGAAGAAGGAAGGTGGGAATTGACTGGGAGGAGAGGAGAGAGGGAGGCTATTTTCAGGATGTACTGTATGAAAGAATGCATTTTTAACAAAGCAGAAAAAATTCCTTCTTAGCCTTTGAATTTCTTCTTTGAGAGTTCTCTCTTTGGTTCCATAGCAGTTTTGATTGGGTGGTTCATTATATTTATTTATTTTTTAGTTCTTTGAATATCCTAGACACTAATCCTTTATCAGATGTGTATATGATAAATAATTATGTCCTAAATTTACATTACATTTAAATAGAATAAATACAAAGAGTGGTGTTGAATAAAATGAGTATGTAGTCATTGGCAAGGCATAAACGGATGATGAGTCCTTTAAAAACCTATAATCAAGTGAACACAAGAGTCTTACTTGTAAAAGGCTTGGTTCTCTACCCCACATTTCCATAGATGCTTGCACGCAGCTGGTGTTGAAGTATGGAATGCCAAGACAGAATTTTTCTAATAAAAATAACAAGAAAGGGTATGTTAAACACAGTTTATATCATTTATGTTTTTCATTAAGGTGTTTATGTGCTTGTAGCCCACTACACATTTTTTTTTTATATGTACATGGAGGTGGTTTAGGAATGTAGGTCTCTATGCATTCTTGTGTGGAGGCAAAATGTTGGTGTTGGTGTATTCCTTTATCATTCTCAAACTCACTTTTTGAAACAGTTTCTTACTGAAACTGAAGTATACCATTTCAACTAGGGTGACAAGTCAGCAAGCTCTAGGGATAACGCTCCTTGGCTGGGGCTAGAAGTTTATGTGGGTTCTGGATATCAAACTAAAGTCATCATGATTGCACTACTAGTAAATACATTGAGCCTTCACTCCAGCAACCTCTCCAATATTACTATGTTCACTAGAGTTGAAACGGTATAGCTTTTTTTCTCATTCTTTAGACATCACTAATCTATTTAAATGCCAAACAAAGCTGATCCATAATTTTCACTAATGCTCCAGTTATCACACCTATCTATCAATCCTTGATTAATCAAAAAAAATTCCTACAACACTAAATGAACATTCTAGTCATTAGCAAAAGTCAAGAAAATCAGCAAACTTCAGTATTTTGGGAATAGCCTTCCACCAAGTCCATTCCCGGGTGAGCCGACAAATATATTTGATGACTGTTAAAAACTCATGGGGGAAAAACAAGTTGGGCATATATACTGTGACCATAACCCTTTATCTAGTGTTGACTGCTGTCTAGTTTTTATAAGAATTTATCTTTGCTGGGCGGTGGTGGTGCACGCTTTTAATCCCAGCCTGGTCTACAGAACTAATTCCAGGACAGGCTCCAAAGCTACAGAGAAACCCTACCTCGAAAAACAAAACAAAACAAAAAAGAATTTATCTTTTGCCCCATTTATTTGTGTCTTAGACAAAGACTTATGGAGAGAGTCCATGTTATATATTTAATAAAGTTTATCCCAATCTATCTTTTATATAGGTCTGTATAGTTAACAATGCTTATTCACTTTATTATTACCTGTGGATTACCATTAACTTGTCTAGCACTAAAATATTTTCACCACTCTTCCAAGTCACTCTCTTTAGGGACAACCATACTAAAAGCTATTTTGTTCTTAGATCTCTCTTATGCACACACACTTGAAAATGCACACACATCAAGTAATTATTAAAATCAGTGTCTGACCTCCTTTTGGGTGCCAATCACATAAAATGTCTTCCCTTCAAACTTGAATTTGCAAACATCTGGCCTAAGAAAAGAAAGACTCTGTGTGAGAAGGAAAAAAACAAAAACCAAAACAAAACTACAGCTGAACTAGGCACCTAGCTTTGCCATAAAAATCTATCTGACTTACAAATGCCAAGGAAACAACAATAAATCAAAAATTTTTTATCATAAGTGATGGTATATTGAGAATGGAGGTCTCTGAGTAAATTATGTAGCAATTTTCTTCCCAAGAGTTGACTAACTGCATGATCAAAATTATTTCTCCTTCTTCCTTTTTTTTTTTTTTACAAGTTAGGATACATTTTTTATTTAACATGTTCTGAATTATTTGTAAACATTAGCAACTGAAACATGAATTCTTAAGTTCACTTTTCAAAGTAGGAAGAATGTTAGTAGAATAATATGAATTCAAAGTTTTTAATTTTTTTCCACTCTTCTCCATCCATCTCTAGGAAGAACATATACTGCCTTGCAAATTTTCAAAAACATCACCCCCATCCACATTGAAATTGTCTAAAACATTATGGTCCAAAGACAAACCTTGATTTTATCTCAAAAGGCTATTTGTTGTAACCTGATTTGAATGTACATCCATGGTCATTTCCTTGATGAGTAAAATGAAGGGTGGATTTTTAATATCCCTTTTATTTAATTTCTAGGATAGTTATATTGTATGTGTATTTTTTTCTATGAGAAAAGAAACAGTGCTTCATTCACCTGTTTCAGTTTAAGTATAGAATTTTTGAAATAGTAGCAAAGCTGAATTTTAAAAAACACAACTATGATTTACATGAGAAGAAAATTTGATTTAGCAAACGATGCATGGTTATAACAAATAAATATGTTTAAGAAGAAGCCAGGAAGAATGGGGTCCACATGAACACAGTACCAGTAACATAGGCAACCTGAAGAAATGAAAACAGAAACAAATACTCCAGAGACTATCCATCTCCATGTTTCCAATGACCTCTCCACAAAATGTCAAGTGGAAAAGACAGGAAATTAATCTGCATTAAGGTGTGGCAGCTTCTAATCAAACCAAACCAGGTCTCAAGTAATTATGGAAACCTGTGTATAACATCCTCCAGGACTTTTACAGTCCTGGGATAGAATGAGGGCAGTCTTCAAGTTACCCATGCTTCCCAAACTAAGTTGGAATATCTATGGTATCTACCCTGGAATTGACTGAAGTAAACACTTTGGAGCTTCTTTGTCAGATGCTGAAAAATCTAGAGAAGAAAACCAGATAGCAACATCATCATAAAACAATTATAGTTATCAAATTACACTAGATTTCCAAAGCACTCTTACAAACATTGCATTTGTTTCTCCTCCAACTCCTTTGCCCTTTGTAAAACAGACATATATAACCAATACCCATCTTATGAATGAATACATTGAGACTCAAGGAACTTATGGGTGAGTTCTGAGATTCCTAACCAGAACAGACAAGTGGGTACAAAGGAAGATTGAAAGTATGACTGATTAAAAGTCAATGACACAGTAGGAATAGATGCTATAGAACAGTTGGGGGTCTTAGACAGATGAACCTAGCACTTAAAAATAACTGAATGTTAATATAGGATTGATTGGCCATTCCAGGTCTTTTGTTATTCCAAATGAATTTGAGAATTTTTTTCTCCTTATGTGAAAAATGAGATGAGGCTGTTGATTGGGAATGCACTGAATTAGGAAATTGTTTTTGGCTGGTAGATCTTTTTCACAATGTTAATTCTATCAAGTTGTAAGCATGGGAGGTCTTTTCAAATTCCAGTATCTTTGTCATTCTCTTTCTTCACAGTTTCTTTAAAGTTTTCATTGTAGAGGTTTGTTACTTCCCTTGTATAGATTATTCTAAATACTTTATTTTATTTGAGAAATTGGAAATAGTAGTGTGTCCACAATCTCTTTCTCAGCATGCTTGCTACTGGTCTATATAAACACTAGTGAATTTTTTAAAAGGCAATTATGTATTCTAACACTGTGCTGAAAATATTGATAGTTTCTACAAATTTTCTGGGGGGGGGATGTGATATCTCTTAGATATAAAAATTATCTTCAGTTGGGAATAATTTGACTATTTGTATCATTCTAATTGCCCCCTCTTGCTTTACTGCTCTAGCTACTGCTTGAAGCATATTACTGATAAGTAGTGGGAATAGTGGGCAGTTATCTCTCATTTCTGATTTTAATGGAACTGCTTAGAGATTTTCTTCATTTAGGATGACATTGACTGTGGGTTTTCCTACATAGCTTTTATTATGTTGGAATATGCTCCCTACATTCCTACTTGTTCTAGGACTTTTATTATGAAACCATGTTGAGCTTTATCAAAGGCTTTTTCTTTCTCTGCATCTATTGATATGATCTTGTGATTTTTGTATTTTTGCTCATTTATATGGTTTATTACATTTATTTCTTTCATATGTTAAATTTGTATCTCTGGGATAAGGCCAGCTTGATTATGGGATTTACTCTTTTTGATACATGCCTGTATGTAATTTGAAGGATTTTAGAATCTCTTTATCGGGGATATTGGCATACATGACACACACAAGTGAACATGTGTGTATCCCTGGTTTTGGTATTAGACTAATACTGGCTTTGAAGGAGGGGTTTGGAAGTACTCTATGTTTCAATGATTTGAATAATTTAAGAACTATTGCTTATAGGTTTTCTTTGGAAACCTGTTAGGATTCTGCTTATCTTTACAGGTTATAAATAATTCTGTTATGAAGCTACATGGTAAATGGTTACTATCTGTTTCATTTTTATCTCTATTGATGTGAAAAATATTCTGATCAAAAAGAACTTAAGGGAAGAAGAGTTTATTGGAGGTTACAACTCCAGGACATATCTGTCCCTGAGAGAAGTTATGGCAGGAACTTAAGGCAGGAACTTGAAGGCAGGCCAACACTCTGTTCCATACAGCAAGCTCTAACCAAGGAACCTACTTCATCAGCCTATCGGTGCAGCAGGAACTATGGCTTTCTTACAGTTTAAGACTTCCTGCTTAGGGAATGGTGCTGCCCAAAGTTGGCTGGGTTCTCCTATATCAATTAATATTCAAAACAATTGTTCACAGAAATGTCCACAGGCCAATTTGATCTAGGATATTTCTCAGTATAGATTCTCTTTCAGATATTCTAGTTTGCTTGCTTTTCTGTCACTGTGATAAACACCATGGAAAAACAAACCAACTTCTGTGGGGTGGGGGATGAAATGACTCATTTCATTCTACATTTAAAGGTAATAGATAAGGGAAGTCAGTGTGACAGGAACTCTAGGCAGGAACTTGGAGGGAGAAACTGAAGCAGTAACCACAGAGGAATGCTGCTTACTGGCTTGCTCCTCTGGCTTGCTCAGTTACATTTCTTATACAGCCCAGACACTTTAATCAGAGGTGGTACTAGTAAGAATAATTTGGGCCCTTCTTCTTTAAGTAATAATTAAGGAAATTCATTCAGTGACAAGCTCATAGGCCAATTTTATAGAAACAATTCCTCAATTGAGATTCCTTCTTCCCATGTGTGTCTAGAAATTTGAGTCAAGTTGACAAAAACTAGCTAGCATAATATACTCCTTATTACCTTGATAACAAACATATTATGGTTAAACCATAATGCTCCCCCCAATATCTTATGTTCATATTATGATATAATATACAGTCATACCTTTACTACAATAAAGCCCCATATCTTTTAAAATTTCCAATAATTTAAAAGTCAAAGTTTCCTTTAAAAATCCAGGAACTTTACTGTTGGCTTCTGTAAACCAAAAATATGTCACCATTTTTTATTTCTTAAAAAAAAAAAAGCAGCACTAGGCACAGGAAAAATTATATCAAATTGAAAACAAGCTTTAGCTGTGAAAATAACTTAGTGTCCAATATCTGGGACTCATTCACTTTTTGGTTTCAAAGGGCCCCATCACTCTAGCTGTACAATCAGTATTACATACAGAGGCTCAGCATCCTCCACTCTACACCTGCCACTGCCCTTAGTGATAATTCCAGGATTATAGTATCGACACCGGAGTCTATACCTCCACCGACAGCTACCTGCTTTCTGGCTGTACTTTAGGAACCCTGATTCTGTCACTCACTGCCAATCCTCAGCTTTTTCCAAGACCCCTTCAATCCTGGGGTTTCTAACATAACTGAGGCTGCACCATTATAAATGAAAGGTCCTGGACCTTCTTCATGGACTCTGAACCCGGCACACAGTGCTTAGTTTCATCTGTATATCATGACACCTTTATGCCTTCAAAAGTATGATATGGGAGTCTCTTAGACACCAGTTTTGTCCCCTCTGGATTACAGCTTCTGTGTGCTGATCCAGAACAAATACTTCCTAGAAGATTTAACCTTGATGATGGTGGTCTTATTAATATCAGTTGACTTTTCAGTCTCAGGTAACCATTATTTATTGTCCCACTAAAACAAAGAAAGTTTCCTTTCCACAGAGTGTGAATAAAAAGCATCATATAAACAACCCTGGTATAATATTTTCTTTCTTTTGAATTTTCACAAGCCAGGCCTCCATTGTTTATATTGCTTTCAGCATTATATTCCAATTTCCCACAGAATAGCTTAATACGCTTGAAACAGTCAATCTCTGTTATGCACCAAAATTCCAAAATCCTGTAGCAATCTTCTCCAAAACAAACACATTCAGGTGTGTTACTGCAAGACCCTACCTACTCATGGTAGTATTTTTTTTTAAATATAGTTTCCTTATATTGAGACAATAACTGAAGCAGAGATCCTGGAAAAACACAGCTTGCTTGTTCCAGTGGCTTGGTCTGCTACCTTTCTTAGACAGCACAGGCTGTCTAAGTGATGTTGTAAAACATCACTAAGTGTCTAAGTGATGCTGTAAAACACAGTGGGATAGGCCTTATTACATCCAAATAACCATCAAGAAAAGGGTTGACAGATATGCCTATGTGGTAATGACATTTTTATTGATGAATTTCTTCAGTTGAGAGTCACTCTTCTCAGGTCTATCTAGGACTTGTGTCAAGTTCACAAAAGCTAACAAGAAGACCAGATAATTTTAAGTTGTATCAAGTTGACAGTTACAGCTAAGCAATTCACTACCTGACAGTGCCAGAAAAAACAATGCTAAAGAAAAAGGAGGGGAAGATCAAGAAAAAGGAAAGCCATTTTTCCAAAGATGTACTCACCATTTTCTTAAATGGATTCTCTTATTTCCCTGGAATACCACAAACCCTGCTGCGGTGAATCCTAAAAATGCTGTAGCACCTCTTGAATCCTGAAGAAATAAAAGTGAAGAACTATTTAGACTGAGAAACAGAAATGATAAATGACATGCTTATTTTCCTTCCTCTTGGGTTAATTCAAACCAAGGTCAGTAACTAAAGACAGAAAAATAAGTTTTTAAGGTGGAATTTCCAAGAACATGACTTCCAAACTCTGGAAAAAAATCTAGGGTTATGTATTATTTTTCTTTCAGAAATAGACATCTTACCCTATCAGGAACCACATAAAAAATACAGATTTCTCCTAAATACTCTACTTTACAGTGTTGTGAATACTTGAGCTCTGTATCTTTTCTGTAATGCCAGAAAATTGTTCTTGGTTGTCCTTATATTTCTAGTACAATAAAATCAAAATTTTGAGCATTTTGACTAAACTGATTCAACCATATACAGAATCTCTGGCAAATCAGTATAACAGTATCCATAAAAAGCCTATTTAACTCCCAGCCAAACCTGAAACTCTAAGCAACTTATGGATAACTTAAAGGCAAAAAACAAAAACAAAAACAAAAAACCCAAAAAAACCAAAAACCAAAACAAAACAAAAAAAACCAGAAAAAATTCAGTCAGTTTCCAAACAAGAAAATGAACAGAGGGGAATACATTTCTGGAAAGAAAAAGACTATAAGTCACTGGATGAAACAAACATATTTACTTAATCACTAGAGGCATCTGAGAAAAACCATAAAACAATTGTACAGGTAGAAAAAGAAGATGCATATTCCAATACAGACAAGTAGAACCATCCTGGAACATCTGTGTCACCTGGCAGCTTGGCCTCCATGCTCAGGGCCCAAGGAAATAGGGGCTGGGTAAGCCCTGGGCAAGCAGATCTTTATGATGTTTCCCAGGTGCTGACAATGAGCAGACTGAACTGAATACAATAGATCCAATACTTAGCTAATAATCTGGCTTCGTTTGTGCAAACATAAATAATAAAGAATAACTCCAAAATTTATTTTTAATATCTGGATTGACAAGAACTCTTAGTCTAGAATTAATGTTACTATCTGATTGATACTTAGTTAAAACGCAGAGAAGAAAATATTGATTGCATGAAACATTTCTCGGGAATATAAACACAAAACCACTTTAGGAAATTGATATGAGGAAAATTGCCTGTCTTGGGAGATAGCTAAATTAGCAAAGTGCTACCCATCCAAATATAAAGATCTGAGTTGATATCCCCAAACTCACATATAAAAATATCTGGATTTAGCAATGTGTGCTTGTAACCCTAATTGGTTATTAATGAGGAGAGATTATTTAAAATACCAGCCTAGCCAAATCAATAAACTCCCTGTTTAGTGAGAGACTCTTTCTAATTAAGTTGAGGTATAGAGAGATTAATCAAAGACACCCAAGGCTGACCTGGGGCCTCCACAAGTAAGCACACACATGTGCACACTCAACTACACATATGTGTGTGCACACTCCCCTTCACATGTATCACACACATACACGAGAGAGATAGAGACACAGAAAAATAATGTGCAACTGCGAGACAGGTAATTCTGATAAAAGTTGTTTATGTTTCATACTTGAGGAAAATGTTGCTAAATAATGAGAATAAGGAAAAAAACAACAAATATTCTCACTTCATGTAACTTAAAATGTTTCTTTTTTCTTCACATTTCTCCATTTTGAAGCTACATTGAAAAGCTAATATAATTTTATTTTTTGTGGATATAATGTAAGTTACACTAACCTGTTTGCCAGGAATGTTCATGAGACTTTCAAAACCTACAGCCTATTGCTTTGTCCTTGGTAACTCCACACTGGTAGAAGGTAGGATCCTACTGCTGAAGATATCATGCACTTCAGAAACAGGACCCAGAGACATCTGAGCTGGAACTGATCAGAAAGCCCTCTCTATGGGGACTCATGGTACCAGAAGATTCCATGTAAGTTTGCCAACCTGAGACCTAGCCTACCCTAGCCACTGAGGCCTATGGTACAGAATGATTCTGTGGGTACAGGGACATCAAAGAGGAAAGGAGATGGACTTGAAAGAAAGTCTGAAAATGATGGCCCCAAGATAGTGCTTTTGTTGGTAAAAACTTTGAAAGTAAAGTTGTTTGAATACTCTCACTTTCTGAAGGAAATCATCCATTAGATGAATAAATGAATGCATATTAATTTTTAGGAAAATTTGACTACTCCAATACAATTAGCAAGCATTTCCAGGTCTCTGGCACAGAACCTAATCACATTCAAAACATGTGATGATAGCCTACTTGTTATGTCTTCCACATAATTTTTGTGGTAAGGCCGTATAAATCTAAGGATATTTTGCCAGGCCTGCATGCCAATAATTTGATTTGGAACAAAATAATGATTATATGGTGGCCTCTTTGAGGCCATTACCTTGCATGGGTGAGGATCCACCCCATAAGTTTCCAATGTATGAGCTTTCAGGAGTAAGTTGAATTCAGCAATCGCTGGGCTCTGACCTCTAAAATGACACATGCACACACATTTTAGAAATTAGAGAATTCAAGTAACATACAATCAATAAAAACTAGTCATCCTGTTAATCAATTGAATATTATTTTCTGTTTAATATAGAATAAAAATTCTTAAGTCAATAGGACCAGGTACATCCACCAGTATTTCTTACCATGCAGAGCCCTTTGAGAAGGTCACATTTTGTAGTTAATTGTACAAAAAAATACTGCTGTATAATATCAGCACTCTAGTGAGTATGCAGTCATTCAATATTATCAAATTACCAGTATGGATGTCCTCACAAATTACATTTAATACAAAAGAAAACTCCGTATCTCTTCTTTAAAAGATTCCCCAGGATGAATGGTATTTCTTGTCCAGACCAGAAAGAGGGCAATCTTATTCCCCCAACAACAATCCTGAACAGAACCTTCTGGGTACAAAAAATTAATAAGTAATTCTACAAAAAGTCTTGGATTATCAGAGGAAATCTCAAATATTAGATTAGTTCAAGAAATGTACTCAATGTTGGTAAACAAGCTGCAGGGTAAAGGGGGCTAGCAGATACCGTTTCATGAAGGACTGACTTGAACATGAGATAATAAAATATTTCAAAGATCCTACTTTGATTAATATGAACATCTCACATGTACAAAAATCTAAACCATTCCTGGTTAAGAAGGGTATGCGATGGAAAACCAGAATGTCATTTTATACTTTAATTACAAAATTATATTGTGCCATTAAATCTAACTTCACTCAAGCTCTACACATAGGATTGTCACTCAATCCCTTCAAAAGACTAAAGGATTCATTAAATTAAAATGGTGCCCATAGGAATCATTTCCTCCTTTTCTCTTATTGCATTGAAGTTTTGCTTCAGTATATCTGCAGGGCATCTTCATCATAATCAGTGTTGTGCTGGCTCTTTAGTCCATCTTCTCTTCCCTTGATCTCTCTGTCTCGGTCTCTCTAGCACACACACTTCTACTTGCTTTAGGGAAAAACTAATGAAGCTGTGATATCCCAAAGGCTACTAAACATCAATCTATTGTGACAGCCTTCAATGCAAAATTTCAGCCTTAGTAATTTAGACAGGATTCATGACAGTTCAAAGCCAATGTGTCCCTTTGCCTCCTAAAGTTTCAGAACTGCCTCTGCATGGACTCATACTTTTGTCTTAGTCAAAAGGCTCCCACTCCACTACAGACTGGTTAGAACTCTTCTGCTGTATAGAGATGGCCACTTTCATGATGATGAAATGGTCAATGCATTTTTCTTTCTTTAATTTTAAAATTATTTATTATATATATATATATGACTGTTTTGCTTGCGTTTATGTCTGTGTAGCACATGCACACTTGGTGCTCTGGGAGAAAAGCAGGGTATTAGATACTATGGATCTGGAGTGACAGATAGTTGTGAGCTGCCATGTGGGTACTGAAAATTGAACCTGGGTCCTCTGGAAGAGCCACAAGTGCTCTTAACCATGACTGAGCCATCTCTCCAACTTTTATTAGTACATCTTAAAAGCCATATATTATGCTTTTGTAAAATCTAAGTTGTCTTTAAGGTCCATCTTTCTTTTTCTAGTCTATGTAACAAAGATTACAGTTCAGTTCACCCTTTACATATTAATTTTCTATATGCTTGTCCTTAGAATGGTCAGTTGAGAGATGGAACCTTTTAGAGATGTGACCAAGTGCAAAAGTCAGTAAGAATGGTGCCTTCTAAAGGGGTATTTTAGTTCTGTTACATCCCAGTTAATATCAAATTAAGAGATAGGTATTACAGAGTGACACGGAACTGGAATATGATTCAGTGTATACAGTACTGTTGTAAGATTGAGGACGTGAGTGTGGATTCACAGGACCTATGTAAGAGACAGACACAATAGTGCGCATCTGTTGCAACACAGGAGGTAGAGACAGCAGAACTCCTGGAAAATCTCACAGGCCAGTTAGCACATTGTACATAGCAGGGAAAAACAAGACTCTGCCTACAATAAGAAGGAAGGCAAGGAGAGACACCTGATGTTGTCTCTGCACCAGTTTGCAGCTCTGCAAGCATGCATCTATACTCACACAAAGTAATAAGGGGGGGGGGGAGTGAATAATTGAGATGAAGCAAGCTTACTTAGCCCTTGAATGGTTTGCCTCTTGCTATGGTCTTTGCCCTCCCACATCTGAAATGTTGCAATACAGCCAGAGCTAAACAAATGATCATGCCACGCTCTGGAATCTATAATAATGGAAACTAAATGAATATATTTCTAAATATAGTACCCAGCCTCTAGTGTTTTGTGATAACAAGAGAAAGGAAATAGACTAAAATGAAAGGTGACTAATTTTCCCTTATCTAAGAAGTATTTTTGTAACTAATACTTTCTATGGCAAATATTCTCTATAGGCATCCTTTCTATGCCTCATGGATGTCTATTCTGAACACCAAACTTAATACCAGGTGACAGCAGAGTTCCAGATCTGACCAACTCCAGAAGACTTACAATTAAGCTCACAGATCTCTGCTAAACAGAGGTTGCTATCCAGGATATGAAAAGGCAAGTTGCAACATGGGAGAAATAGATCAGCAATGAGGACAACCAAATAGTATCTAGAATACTTTTAAAACTCCTAATAATTAAAAAAACAGCATTTAAAAAATACAGGTAACCAAAAAAATGGACAAAAGTCTTATACACATAACAAGTAGGCAGCATGAATAATCATCAAGGATGCAGAAATATGTTCAACCTCTTTACTAGCAAAATATAACTTAAAAGTATAAAAAACCCTTAACATATCTGGATATGATAAAGCTAAAAAGCCTAACAAAGCCTAGCAACAGAGAGACTGCACAACAAAACCAGGCATCCTATTACGATGAGAAAGAGCAAGTTAGTATAATTAATATGGAAAGGAAAGGTCTGGCACTATCTACTAAAATTTAGTTTGTTTATGATAAATTACAGTAATTCTACTCATAGTAACACTTTCAACATAATCTTAATTATTATGCCAAGAAATATATATATATATATATGATAGTGATTTTTTTTAATCTAAAAAAGCAATGTGACTGTACACCTAACAACAGTAGTATGGATATAATAATAATAATACTGAATAACCATAAGAATAAATAAAAGCAATGATACATAGAAAATGGGTTAATATCACAAGTGTAAAGAACCAAAGACACTAGACATGCTATTAAGTAATGAATGCCTGTTTCCATAAGTTTAAAAGGGGAGAACAGTGAAGATAAAACTAAGAGTATTAAAATACTATTTGCCATAGTATCGGGCCTTAAGTTTAAATCTAGTATATTTTCTGTTGAGTTTTATATAGTTATCCTGGTGACTTTTATATCAACTTGACACAAGCTAGGGTCATTAAAGAGGAGGGAGCTTCAATTAAGAAAATGTGTCCTGGGCTTTAGGTAAACCTGTTGGATATTTTCTTTTTAAATTAGTGATTGTTATGGGAGGGCTCAGTCCACTCTAGGTGGGCTTGTGGTCCTGAGTTCTATAAGAAAACAGGCTGCACAAGCAACACAGTACAAACCAGGAAGTAGCACTCCTCCATGGCTTCTGTGTCAGCTCCTGTCTTTAGGTTCTGCTCTGTTTGAGTTCCTGTCCTGGCTTCATTTGATGATGAGGCATAAGTCAAATAACCCTTTGTTCCCCAGCTTACTCTTGATCATGGTGTTTCATTACAGCAATAGTAATCCTAACTAGGACAATAGTGAAGTATGTGGATCTAGTTTTATTCTTTTGCATGATGATAATTGTTTTTCCCAACACAGGTTGATAAGACAATGCATTTTTACTACCATGTGTTTTGGGCTCTTTGCTGCATATCATTGGCTGTAAGTGCATCAAATTATTGGGGCTTCCTGATTTGGTTCATTGTTTTTGTGGCTGTTTTATGAGGGTATCATGTTTTGTATATTCCTTAATCAGGGAGTGGCATGTTCTCAACTTTCATGTTGCTCAACTGTTCTGATTATTTAGGGTCTTTTGTTGTTTTCACATGAGGTTTAGGCTCAGTTTTTTTCCATTTTCTTGCTTTTAGGTTTATCATTTCCTCAATTATTACCCCTGAACATGACAGAAACTGGAAAACCTATGGAGGGGAAGTGTCAGTTAGGATGTTTAATACAGGAAAGCACAAGATTATCTTTAAAATATAAATCTTCATGTCAATATTGCTTGGTTGGGCTTGTCTGCATATTTCTGCTAAGTGAGCATCTGAATAAATTAGTTGACAAATTTATACACAAAGAAAGACTTAGTGCAGGTGTCAAAGATGGCAAGAGGATAGAGCCATAGAAGCTAAGGCAGAAATTAAATAAACTGAGCTCCTGAGACTCCTAAATTATTAAGGAACAAGTCATTTAATAATTTGTTTTCATAGTAAGTAATTACATTCTGTTCCTTTAGTCTCTCACTGGACATTAGTTTCTGGAACAACTTTGAATATGGCAACAGAAAATAAAAATCATCTGCAAGATGAAGCTTTTCTAAAGAGGCATTGAAAAAAAATCAAAGATTAGCTGCATTTCTTTTTTAGGAGACAGCAATTCTAACATATAATTCTCTTAAGATTCAACTAAATTTGATGAGGTTGGATAATTATGTATTTAGCTGTACTTCCTGTCCTATATTTAAGTCCTAAATACATGTCCTGACTACTTTAGCTAACAAAGAACAGTCTCTTTCATATTGGTCTTCTTTGAGTACACCTTCACAAACAGTAGAAAACCTACAGCTCCCAGGAATAAATGGTTATTAGTCACTACTAACTTAAAATGAGGTATCGACTATTGTTGGCTATATTTGAACTGATTATAAAGTACAAGCAGAGAAGGGATGGGCTTGGCTCTGCCTGACCCATTTGGATACAGAAACTTCATAATTAAATTCAGGGAGAGAAAACCAATAACACATTCTCTTTCTGAGCAGTGGGATTATCTATATTGAGTTAGACATTGCTATAACTTGGTTGGGACTTTCGTCATATTGCATTGCTGCAATTTTAAAGTTTCCTCACATTTGGCTTCAAATGTTTGAGCATTTCTTTTAATATTTTTCTTTTAGTATATGCTGGATCTTAATTTAAGAGGCTCCAGAGAGTATATTATTTACAGCTTGGTTGTAGAATTTGACGTTAATAGGGAAACTCATGTGCCCTTCAGATCCATTACTGGCCCTCTGAGCACTGTAAAATCTTATTCTTCCCCATTTCCCTGACTCACCATGGGCAAGATGTGCCCTGCCCTGGCTGGTGTTTGTGGTATCTCACAGGGGAATCATTCAGTTGTCCTGCAGATTAGAGGTTTGGCTATGTGTTCTTATATTTGTGGCAAGCTTCTCTTCTACCATTACTCATTCTTAGAGGAGTATGAAAATAACAACAATAGCAATAACAAACAACACCAGCTATCCCATTCTGCTTCATATGACAGGCTAGAATTTAATTAATTTATCTTTCTTAGATCTCAAACGAAATAAAATAATATGACTTTGATGTTTACTTCATTGTTTAGAGTTAGAGAGATCAATATCTTTAAGAACCCGAACAGGGAAGGAAAGCCTCCAGCCTGCCACTTCTAATATTTGACTGAGACAGAGATGGTATATATTGAAATTACCTGTCTGTATGCCCCGTTTTAGAAAAAATATGGCAAATATGGGCATATAGTATGGTAGAAGAAGATATGAAGGCAAACTGAGGCCATGCAGTACCAAGGCTTTGGGAAAGTATCATTGGAAAATGTTACGGCAGAAGTCCTGGTCTTCTGACTCTTAAAATCTTTATATCTCTTTTTGTGAACATTTTTGACAGAAAAGTTTGGGGTTATTTTATAGGTGTATAAATTGGGGCATGACACACTGTGGTCAATTGCTCTCTGCATTTTGATTAATTGTGGTTTTCTATGATTATTTCCATTTTCTGCAAAGAGAAGCTTCTTCATGAAGGCTAAGAGCTACACTGATCTGTGGGTACAGAATACGTATTTAGAATACAGTTAAAATTATCTTGGGTTAGGAGAGTGGCAGGGAGATTCTGCTCTAGGTTCCATGTTCTCAGCCACTGGTAGTCTACAGTACCAGAAACGAATTCCATCTTATTCAACTCCATGGCTTCTTCTTTCCTACATGGAATTTTTTTTAGTTTTGTGATTTCTCTTTTTATCACTTTTTGGCCTTAATTCACAAGCCAATGAATTCCTACTAATATAGTCCTTTCTTACACCTAGGTCCCATCATAAGGTACTATCTGTTTACTTGCAGTTTTTGTGCTTCAGGTTGAGGTCTTCCATGCATTTGAACATTATTTTTGTGTAGTGTGATAGATAATAGATCTAATTTCATTTTTCTATGTGTGAACTACTTGTACTAGCACACTGTCTTCTCTCCAATGTGTATTTTTGTCATCTTTGTCAAATGTCAGATGGTTATAGTTACATTCATTCATGTTTGTGTCTTCTGCTTTGTTCCACTGATCTAAATATCTGTTTTGGTGTGTACTTACTATTACCATACTTGGTATGGTACTTTATAAATTACTATAGCTATGTGACATAGTTTGAAATATTACACATTTTAATCACTACAGTATTGCCCTTTCTCCTCAGGGTTGTTTGTCCTCTCCAGGGTCACTGATTGTTTCATATGAATTTTAGTACTCTTTTGCTATTTCTGTAAAGAATATCTTGTGCAATTTTGATTGGAATTGCATTTAATCTGTTAATTATTGGTAGAATGGTCATTTTCACAGTACCAACACATGAGCATGGACTGTCTGTAAAATTCTAATGTCTTCCCCAATAATTTTTTTTCAGAGATTCAAGTTTTAATTATAGAGGTCTTTTATCAACTTCGTGAGGTTTTTTTCTTAGATATTTTATTTTGTTTGAGCAATTGGGAATGTGAGTCTGTCTATGATCTCCTTCTCATTTTATTTGTTGTCAGTATATAGAGATGCTACAGATGACTGTTTCAGTTATTGTTGAAAACATCTCATTGTGTGTAAAAAATATTTGTATTTCATCCTAATATGTGGTAAACTATAGAGGATCTTCTGTGAACTACTGAGTGGACGCTACACTCTCTGGTATTTGAGAACAAGTTCTGTAGATACTGTTTAGGTCCATTTGATATATGATGTCATTTAATTTCATGTTTCTTTTAATTTTTTTCTAGATCTCTTGTCTTTTGGAGAGAATGGGATACTAAAGCCACCCACTATTGTAGTTAATGGGTGCCTTTAATTTCAGTAGTATGTTTTTTCTTGCACATTAGGTTGTTACATATATGTTAGGGTTGCAATGTCCTCTTGATTAATTTGATTAATTGTTCCCTTAATTATAATGATGCATTCCACTTTTTTTCTTTTTCCTTCAACTCCTACAATTTTTCTGGCACAGGATTTTAGGTTACTGTATTAGTTATCTTTCTCCTGCTGTGGTAAAACATTTTGACTGAGGCAACTTATAGAAGAAAGGCTTTATTTGGGCTGATGTTTCCAGAGGAATAAGGGTTCACCACTGTCATATTGGGGGACAGCAGACATAGCAACTGGAACCATGTCTGTCTTCCAAACAGGAAGCAGAGAGAGAAAGAGTAAAAAACTGGAAACAACACTAATTTTCTAAATTCTCAAAGTCCAATCCCAGTTTCTCTAACAAGGCCACACCTCTTAAACATTCCCAAACAGTGCCAACACCTGGGACTCATGTCTTCAGATATATAAGCCTATGAGGATATTCCCATTTAAACAACCACAACTGGCATCTGTGGCTTTTTAGTCCTGACTCTTAGGGCTCATTGCCACTGTAACACCTGAATGATTACTTTCTTCCTAGAACTGCCAAACATTGGAGTAATGTGTGGGCATTAGTGTCAGGTAATCATGGATCATGTTATGACATCAATGTTAACTAATAGGAAACATTTTTTATCCTCTTCAAGATCACCTTCTTTGTCCTTCACAGGCACACAAAGAGTGTCTGTCTCCTACAATTTGGAAGGATGGGGCAGAACAGCTTTCAGAAGCCTATTTGCTTTATATTTTGGCAACTTGGAAATGCTCAGAAATGTTTGTCACTATAATGTTCACCAAGAATTTAAAGCCCTACAAAGTCTAGCCACAGAAGATCCACCATTTCTACCAATCCATGCAATGAACACAGTTTACTCATTAATAAGTCTTACCATTTGGTTCCTAACAAGAGTAATTCTCTATACTATGGTTGTATCAACTGGAATACTGTGAGTCATTGTTCTAAATAGTACATTTATTTCCAAAATATAGAAAGAACAATGAATATTTTGTATTTATTTTCAACACATTTTCTTTAACAGAAAGTTCTCTTAAGTTAATCCATAGAACTAAGAAAATGTACAGTTTTGAGGTAATATATTTGAGGCAAAATACACACCTTTTCTAACTTCTCACTTCTCATAGGCACTATCTTGGAAAAGTCTTACACTAATTGAGATACTAAGTCATACTTTGCAGGGCCCAGAAACATTTCTCTGCAACCCAAGGCTGCCTACTCACACTTCAAATCATATGCCTTCACATGAGTCCAACTTTCTATATAGTAAGAATGCTTTTTCATCTCTACACTTTCACACATATTACCTGAGTTCATTGTTATGAATTTCCATGATTTTTCTTTCCAACTTCTGTGATTGCTTGGGGAAAATCTCAAACTCACTGATATAATTCTCAGGATGCTCATCAGGATAATAATCACCAAACTCAGCTATAACCATCAAAAATTGGAGAAAAAGAGAGAAATCATAAACAATACAATAAGGACACATATACACTGTCATTTACCATCCAAAATAAAAATATAGACTGAGTTTATGCAATATAATGCATTTCTACTCATGGGGAGAACACCAGTCTCATTTTCTAGAGACATATTCGTGTTCACATCTGACTATGTGAATGTGGGTACCTGTTAGGTCTTTTTACACCTCTTTTTCTTGTCCTAAAACAATTTAAAACATTGTTGTTTTTCATTAAAGCACTATTGACATATAGGGTGCTGAACAATTTTACTGTTTCGGATTTTCCAGATTTGTAGGCCCTTGAAGTCACTACATGTTCATAGCAAAATTATTATCATCAATAATAACACCCTCCAGAGATAGTCAAAGAATATACATTTTCAATTATGTAAAAGAAATACATTTAAGAAATCTGTTGTGCTATATAGTGAGTATACTTATTAAAAATATATGCTATTTTTTAAAATAACTAGAATAGGCCTGGAGTGTTCACATAAAAATTACATACAAAGTAGAGATATTATATATACACATATACTTATATATACAAACATATATATTGAGTTTAGAAACAATAAAATGCAAACATTCAAAACACCATGATGTATGCTATACACACACACACACACACACACACACACACACACACATATATATATATATATATATATATATATATATATATATATATATATCAAGGTTTTGTGGTAGATGTTTTCCAGCTCTTTGAGGAATCTCCATACTGATATAATGGCTGCAGCAGTTTGCACTCCCACTAGCAATAAATAAATGTTTTTTCCCCCCAGCATTTTTCATCATTACTGTGTTTGAATCATAGCCATTCCATCCATGGTAAGATGATATCTCAAAGTACTTTTTATTTATATTTCCCCAACAGACAAGGATAAGAGCTCCCTCTGGTGACTCTAAAGTTCAATCAAAATTGAAAACAAGAATCAAAGCCTGGTTCATCAGACACTGTTATCAGCTATTTTCATTTCATCTTCTGCAAACTCTGTATTTTGTTCCATGCTACATTTTAGGATTGAGTTATTTTTCTTTATGTTTATTTTTTCAGTTCCTTAGGTAGTGTAGATACTGTTATTAGCATAGCTGTTAGACATTTTTCCTATTCTGTATGTTACCTTTGCATTCAAATAATGATGTCCTTTGCTATAGAGAGAATATTTAGTTTGAAGGGCTTTCCTGTGCCTCTAAGTTCAAATATATACTGTGCTTTCTTCTCTGTCAGAATCAAGAGACCAGATCTCTCTCCCTCCCTCCCTCCCTCCCTCCCTCCCTCCCTCCCTCCCTCCCTCCCTCCTTCTCTCCCTCCCTTCCATTATTTTTCGTTTTTTTTTTTATTTTTTATTTTAAAAGATAGGTCTCTGTCTAACCTTGGGTATCCTGGAACTCCCTCGTAGATTGGAATGACCTTAAACTCAGAGAGATCCACTTGCCTCTGTCTCCTGAGTGTTGGGATTAGTGTGCACCACTACCACTCAGCTCATGATCTGATCTTTTAAAAAATATTTCTTACAAAATGACAGGAAGAAAGAAAAAGAAAAAGCCTAGATCCTTCATAAGCTGTTGTTGAGACTCAAGAAAGCTACCTCCCGAAATTTTTGTCTGTGCTATTTTTATTACTATGGCTCTGTAGTACAGTTTGAGGTCAGGGATGGTGATACCTCCAACAATTCTTTTTATCAGTTATCCTGTCTCCATCCTTTTTTTAAGTATAGGAACATAGTGCCATGAAGTTGCCTCTTAGTATTGCTGTCATTGTTTCATAAATTAGGGTATGCTGCATTTTGTTTTTATTCACTTGTAAAATATTTCATTTCTGTCTTGACCTGTTTTTACATTGTTCATTTGCTATATATTTGTAAGTTTTTGTTGTTGATGATATCCATCCTTATTAATGGTGGTCAAATAGGATACAGGGTGTTATTCAATTTTTTTGTATCTTTTTAGACTTGGTTTGTGTCCAAGTATGTGGTCAGTTTTGGAGAACATCCCATGAGCTTCCGATAAGAAGGATGTTCTTTTGTGTTTAGGTGAAATGTTCTATAAATATTTCTTAGGTCCATTTGCTTATAACATCAGTTAGGTCCAGCATATTTCTGTTTAGTTTTTGTCTAGATGATCTATTGCTGAAAGTGAAATATTGAAGTTACCCACTACCACTTTATAAGGGTCAATTTAAGCTGTAGTAGTGTTTCTTTTATGAAACCTGGGTGCCCTTGTGTTTGTTGTATAGATGTTAAGAACTGCAATATTCTGATGGAGAATTTTTCCTTTGGTGAATATTCAATGCTTTTCTCTATCTCCTTAGTAGTTTTTGTTTGAAGTCTATTTCGTTGGATATTAAAAGAGCTACACAGGCTTGTCTTATGTCAATTTTCTTGGAGTATCTTTTTTCTATCCTTTTAACTTGAGGTAATGTCCATCTTTAATGTTAATGTGTATTTCCTAGATACAGCAGAAGAATGGATCCTGTTTTCTAATCCTCTGTATTTGTTAGTGTATATCTTTTGATTGAATAATTGTGGCCATTGATGGAGAGAGTTATCAATGAGCAGCATTGGTTGGTTCTCATTATTTGTTGTTGTGGTGTACCCCCCTCTTTTGTCCAGTTTATTTAGTGTTCTGTGTATTTTTTTGCTTTTGTAGGCATCTCTTTCTTTAGGTTAGAAAGTTTTATTCTATGATTTTATTAATTTTTTCTGGGTCTTTGAGATGGGATTCTCTTTCCTCAATTCCTATCATTCTTAGATTTCTATTATTTTTAGATTTGATGTTTTCATAGTATCTGAGAATTCCTGGATGTTTTATGCCACGAGCTTTTTAGATCTTTGATGAAATATTTAGATCTTTGACATTTTCTTTGACTGGTGTATCCATTTCTTTTATTATATTTTTAAATTCCTGAGCTTCTCTCTTTCATATCTTGTATTTTATTAGTGGAACTTGCCTCTGTAGTTCTTGTTTGAATTCCTAAATTTTTTCTTTACAGAATTCCCTCAGTTTAGATTTTCTTTATTGATTTTATCTCTATAATCAGGTCCTAAATAACTAATTTAATTATCCTTCATTGTTTACATGTGTTTGGCTATATTTCTTTTAGGGGATTAGGAAGAATTTTCTCTTTAAGTTTATCTTTAACATATTCATAAAGGCAATTTTGAAGTCCCTTTCTTTTACTTCAGATATATTGCTTTTCTCAGAGCCTACTGTAGTAAGGTTGCTGGGATCTACTGGTGAAACATTGTTCTGATAGTCATTGACTATGTTTTTATACTGGCATCTGGGCATCAGGATTTGGGATGATTATAATACTAGTTGCTGATGTCTAGTCTTATCTTTGCGGGGTGGGCATTTTGTTCTTTGGTTTCTGTTGCTGTTGTTAGTTGGTAGAAAATTGTAGTAGCTATGTGTTACTTGGTAGGGAATGCTTTTCAGATTTTGCCAGATTTGGCTACTGGAGGTTTTGGTTAGAATGTGTTTGTTGGTATAGGAAGCTGACACTTAGGGATAGGAATGGGCTAGAAAGGGAGCCAAAGATGTCTACAGGAAGGAGAAAAGCAAGGTATGCCACCAGGATCTGTTTAGTTCCTTGAGAATGGGAGCAGAGAGCGAGAAGAGGCCACAGTATGTGGTGTGCTACTGATCTGGGGATGAGACTGGGTACTGGTTTTGTAGAAGATGAGGAAGTGGGGAAGATATGAGGATCACATACCTGCTTCTGTGATGACCTGCACCTTCTCTGGCTGGTATGGCTAGCAGGTTCCCATAGAATGCCTATGGGAATTGGTGGCTGAGACAAAGGGTTGGGGTGGTGAGGAAGTCTGTAGGAGAAGATCTGTATCAAGTTACCACGTCTTATGTTGAGGTCCTCAATCCATATGAAGTTTAGTTTTGTGCAGAGTGAAAGATATACATTTAGTTTTCTTCATCTACATGTAGCTATCCAGTTTCATAAGCACTATTTTTAAATAATGCATTATTTTCTTTATTATGTACCTTTTAACTCTATAAAAAAGAAATCAGCTGTCTAAAGGTATGTGAACATGTGTCTGGATTCTTAATTTTATTCCATTGATCAATGTGTCTGTTTTTATTCCATTAACATAGAGCCATTATTACTGTAACCATGCAGTATAATTAAAAACCAGGAATGGTGGTAACCAAGTTTTTATTTTCAGTGTTGTTTTAGCTAACTTGAGAATTTTGGGTTTTCATGTGAAATTCAAAATTTAAAGAAAAAATAGTTTGTGAAAAATTGTGTTTACATTTTGATGGGAATGGTTGTTGGAATCTTGCTACAGATGGCAAACTATACATTGCTTTTGATAGGATGGTCATTTTCAAAATGCTAATCCTAGCAATCTATGAACATAAGCGACTTCATCTTCGGGTATCTTCTTCAATTTATTTGTGTCTCTATTAGAGAAACCTTTCACCTCTTTTGTTAGGTTTATTCAAAGGTATTTTATTTTTTATTCATCCCATTGTGAATAGTATTGCTTTCCTTATATCATTCTTTGTCTGTTTTTTGTTTGTCTATAGGAAGGTTACTGATTTTTTTTTGTCTCAATATTGCAATCTGCTACTTTGTAGAATGTATTTGTGAGCTGTAGAAACTTTCTGGTGGAATCCTTGTGATCTTTTCTACATAAAATCATATCATTTGTAAATAAGGATATTTTGATTCAATTTTTCCTATTTTTATACTCTTCGCTTGTATTTCTCCACTTGTTTTATTACTTTAGCTGGGACGTTAATAACATATTGAACAGAAATAGAACCAATAGATATCTTTGTTTGTTTCTGGTTTTAGTGGAAATGGTTTGGCTTTTTCTCCAGTTAGAATGACGTTTGCCCTCAGGTTGTTGTAGATTGCCTTCATATATTAAAATGCATCTCCTTTCTTATTTTCACCAAGACTTTCATCATGAAGAGATATTGGTTTCTGTTAAAGGCTTTTTCTGCATCTAATGAGATGGCATTTAGTATATTTATTTGTTGGAATGTTTTAAAAATTATTTAGTATGTTGAACTATTCCTGCAACTCTTGGATGAAGCTAACTTGACCATGGTGGATAATCTTTCTGATACTTTCTTGAATTTAGTTTGGTAGAGTTTTATCAAGAATTTTGATGCTATGCTGATCAGAGATATTGGCCTATAATCTTCCCTTTTATTGAGTCTTTGCCTAAGTTAGGTATCAGGGCAATACTGACTTTATAAAAAAGAATTTGAAAGTGTTCCTTCAAGTTTCTATTTTTCAGAAAATTTTTAGTATTATTGCTAGTTCTCCTTTGAATTTGTGCTATCCTACTCTTTAATATATATCCAATAGACTCTGTTACTACAGAGATGCTTACTCATTATGTATATTGCTCCCTTATTCACAATTTTCAGGAAATGGATATAGCCTAGATCTCCATCAACTAATAAATGGATAAAGGAAATGTTTCACATACATAATAGAAGATTATTCAAGCTGCTAAGAAAATTAAATTTGCACATAAATTGATGGAATTGGGAACAGTTATTTTGAGTATGACAATCAAAACTCAGAAAGGAAAGCATTGCATGTTTTCTCTTACATATGGAAGTTAGCCTTAAAATTTTAAATACATGTGCTTTATTTGGAATACCCATAGAAGTTAGGCAAATAATAAGAAGCCCATCTGGAGGAGGGTATTTTTCAAGATAGATAAAATAGAATTAATGTTACAAAGGGCAAAGATGAAACAGGAAAGATTAAATAGGGTTAGGGTGGGAAGGGAGGGTAGAGAGGTTCTGGGGAAGAAAAATTGACAGTAAAATCATTAGGATTTACCATATAATAAGTTAGATTACAACTAGATACCATGTGCTATTAAATATACCCCCCAGTACTAGGAATGAGTTGCCTCTTTTTGAGTTATTGGCCAGCGAGGTTTCAAAGACCTCTCGCCAGACATTACAAGCTATTTCCAGTGCTATTAGCTACCCTCCAGAAGTGGACAGTAAGAACCCATTGCTGAAGATGTCATGTATTTGAGTTATAGGACATGAAGAAATCTAGTTGGTAATCTATTGGAAGTTTCATTTCTACTGACTATGTTTCTTTTTTAAATTGTTTTTATTGAGCTATACATTTTTCTCTGCTCCCCTCTTTTCCTCCCTTCTCCCCTGTTCCATGACCACCATGTTCTTAATTTACTCTGGAGATCTTGTTTTTTTCTCCTTCCTATGTAAATTCATGTATGTCTCTCTTAGGGTCTTCTTTGTTCTGTTTTCATAGTGCTGGAGTTTGTCACAAATGCTGCTGGAGGAGACAATCACTAATATCATCACGTTCTGAACTCTATAAGCCTATATATAATAACCTGCCTGGCAAGATATGCCAAATGATTCAATACTAGTATAAATGTAATGATGTCTCTCTCTCTCTTTCTCTCTCTCTCTCTCTCTCTCTCTCTCTCTCTCTCTCTCTCTTAGGATTTAAGGGCCACTCCATAAAGGTAAATCTCTATTGTTGAAGACACTATGCACTTCAGAAACAGGGACCAAAGGCTTCTGATCTGGAACTGACTTGAAAGTTTCCTTTTTGAGGATTAGATTTTATGCCACCATAAGGCATTGTAATTTTCCAAAGGAGCACTGCAATCATCAGACCTATCTAACTACGATACCTATTAACCACAAAAATGACCAACATAGTGAAATAACTCTAAGGGTGCAGCAGTGAGTTGTAAGCATACCTTGGTGATAACCAACAGCTTTCTAATTGGACTTAAGGCCTGCTCAATAAGAAAAAATGAATGCTTTGTGCTGGAAACTTACCAACTACGTAGGGATAGTGAAGCCATGGATTTTGGAGGAGAACCCACAATTGCTAATTTACGAAGTCAGCATAATCCCTAACTCCATTCTAAACATTTTTCCTTATACCCACAGGAAGTTTAGTCCTCATATCTCTCATCATGTAAACTTCTTTTGGCAACAGACAGAGCTGATTCAGAAAACCAAAACCAACCAAAATCGTGAGTTGTGGAAGCTGGTGCTAATAGGTGTAGCTACAAAACAATCCCTTTACCCAAGGCTCAAGTAATATTGTAGAAGAGGTGGTGGTAAGATTATAAGAGCCAGAGGATTAGGGTTTTCCCCTAAGACTTTGTCTTCTCAGATTGTTAGAAGCTATTCTCATGAGTTCTCACCAGAATGACTGCCTAAACATTGCTAAATAAGAACACCAGCAATAGACGTGGATAGGGAAAGCTCAAGAGACCTAAACCCTACACAAAAGTATTACAGGCAACTAAGAAATGCTGAATATGGGATAAATACTTATTCTCTGGAAAAGCACACTATTTGTTCATCTTATATCAAATGCCTAGTCATGTACTATATCAAATGAAATATCAAATATAGTATAATATCAAATATCATTATACAAACTCAGCAGGTCATATATACATATACATACATATACTATACATAATATATATGTAAAAATAATTACAGAAAAAAAAGAGTTCATGAATTTGAAAATGGTCAAGGTTGGGTATTTGGGAAGATTTGGACAAAGGAAAGGCAAATTGGAAATGATATAATTATATTATAATCTCAAAAGCAGAAAAACAATTAAAAACTGAGAAACCTATCTTTGAAATCATACCTACTCAAAGGCAAAATGTTTTTTTAAACCAGCATTAAAACAAAGATTAGAAGCATCTAGACTCCAAGTCTAGTGAGTGCATTCAGTCTTCCCGACACACTAGTATTATGTTCATCCCTAAAAAGAACATCTACCTCTTATGGTCCATAATGTTCTGTTCACAGTTGTTATAAAATTTCCTGTGTAGATAGACTTATAACTACCCCATGTTATACAGGAAAACACTAAAGCTTAAAGAACTAAAGTAATTCAAGTTTGACAAAATAACTAGGAAAAGGGGAGGATTCATCAAACAGATTTGTGAATTTATTCTTGTGTGCCTATAAAAGCTGAAAAATTATAGAAAATACATGCACACATGAAATACGATTAAGGAGTGACCTACTTTTTAAAAATCCATTTCCTTGATATGGCTTCACCCCTTGATATGTCTATTAGGTATCATTTGATAAGTGGAATCAAAACATAAAATTCCGGCATCAATATAGAAAGTCTTACAAAATGATGGCCTGTTTCTTTGAGAAAAAAAAAAGAGAGACTCTATATTCTACTCTTTGGGGCTTGTAAGTCTTCAAATGTGAGCAAGGCACTGTGAACAGTGGCGCTCAGCCTTCTGCCAGGATTAATGACTTGGGAGGGAATGTGATTAGGTGAATCTACATTGTCATAAGTAGATTCACCCACAGACAAAGACAGGATTGTAATAGGTAACAGGGAAGAGAGACACAGAATAAAGTTTCATTGCCCATTGCAGTGTTGGAAATGAGTGTCCTGGGGGCTGGACTCACCTTGAACGATACAAGCACCAAGATAGGCAGCATCAGAAAAGGAGCATAACAGTCGACCATGAAAAATGTCTCTTTTAATTTGCAAATATAAAAGGTATCTGCAACAAAAAGGGAGAAATAATCACCTTAAGTTTTATCTGAAGCTTGAAAGTAGGAACTTTTATGATCTGTCTACCTGAACCACACCTAGATCTCGGCAGTAGTTTAGACATGCCAATCTTCCTTCAGATGAGCACATGCAAAAAGACGTGGAGATTTCAGAATTTATAAACCCAATGGTTAAGTTAGCTTTCAAAGGTAAAGGGGCTCAGCCTTTCTAAGAAACTCCACAATAACCAAGAAACACATGGCCTAGCAGTCACCGACCACTACCACACAAGGAAAACCGCAACTTAGATCATCCACATCCCAAGGGTCTTTTGCAATTTGATTTCTTTTAAAACTCTATGTGCATTTGTAATCAGAAGCTATGTTGAACTACCATTTGCTCATTGCTCCTCAAGAAGAGACAATATATTAGTAACTAAGCAATAAAAACCAAACAGCAACAAATTTGGTTATGAGACCAAATTAAGATGATGGACACTTGGATTGGCCTCTTGTGTCACTGTATTTGGTCTCTGATCCTCTGCAGACTAACTCAGATACCTGTAGAGGCACAAATGTGGTTGGTAAACTGCACTGGGAAAACAGAAGGAAAAGTGGGCAACATTATGGAAGAATCAATTACTGTGAAACTCTCCTGGATTGTCTTATAGGAAAGTTGAAAAGATGTAAGTGTCGGGGTCAGCCATGATAAGCTAAGTCTGGGCAGGTTACCCAAAGGGAGTTCTTTAATTCCAACCATTATCACCTGGGACTCTGGCCATCGGTGAATTTAAATGGAGTCTGGAGTCTCAACAGTTTACCCTGAGACAATGCCTGGCTGCAAGAGGAACCACAGGCTGAGATTGCCCGACTTCCACCCAAGAGCAGACCATTCACAGGAAATGCCTGGCATTCCAAGAACTGTAGATAGAGACACCTGCCAGTGCATCTCAACAGGACACCCCTAGACAAATGTCAGCCAATCAGGAGGGCCCTAAACCTCTCACCCCCACCTTTACTACTACAAAAACTTTATCCTAATTGAACTCGGGGCTCTCCAGATATTCCAATACATTGGACATGCGGAGAGACCGAGTTTGCAAAGTTGATTAAAATAAAGGCTCTTTGCTTTTACATATGGGACTTGGTCTCCTTTGTTGGCTTTTGTGGGGACCCCATGGATTTGGGCATAACATATGCACTTTGTAAGAAAACTCAGGAGATTGTATTAACAGAAACTTTTACATTGATAAGTGCTATCGCAATACTGTAAAAAGAACATTAATAGTTAGAAAATAATACAGAGGCAACAGTTTGCAGATACTGGTTTCCAGGCCCTTGTCACTGTCCTTTGAATTCATCCATGCTGATTCAATTCTTTTCAGGTTCCATGTTCTTTCTTAACCAAATTGACTCGCCTGGGCTCTGTTTTGTTTTTTAACAAAAGTAACAGATTCCATTCGTGCCAGTTTAACATTTACCTACAAGGGAACCCCCTCATCGCCCCACATTTGCATATCCTTAGGAGAACACTTAGAAACATCTTTTAATTAGTCACAACTTTGAGGTAGTTAATTTTGGACATCAGTTTTACTGAGTCATGGGATACTCAGATATGAAGTTACCCATGATTTTGGGGGATCTTTAAAAGTGTTTATGTGCATCATTTATAGCTGAGTTAGTGAAACAGCAAAACAGATGGCTACCCTATTTGGGGCTGACATCGTGCAAAGTGTTCCAGGACTGAATGGGGCAGAAATGCAGAGGGAGGGTGAATTTACTCTATCTTACAACATGAACTAGAGTATTCTGCCTTTCGTATTCCTTATCCTGAGGCCTTCAGACCTGGATGGAATCCACTGGCCCTCTGTGGCCTCTTACCTGAAGACTGCAGAGCCTTCCAACCTGCCTAAAGATGCAAACTAATTCCTTATAATAAAGTTTATGCAAACACACATACATAGTCACTCATGTACACATGCGCGTACACATACACACACACATGCACACAAAACCCACTGTATGTTTCTGTGGGAAAACCCCGAGTAAATACTTCTACTGTTTAGTAATTTGCCATACTCAGCATTATGAGCCAAAGTATAACTTCACTTTAAAGATAAAGTCAAGGAATGGAAAACCATAGAGGGAGATTTGTATTCTAATCTCATAAGGGTTTTTCTTGGTCCTGGGCATGGGAGCTGTCAGTTCTGGCGGTACAAAATTGAAATCACAATGGACACAATGAAGGACTCATCATTGCCTTATTGGTGTTTTCGTCACATGGATCTTCTTCTTCTTACATACTTTATACTGGGCACTGTTCGAGCCATCAGGGTATTAGCGACACTTGAGAGATTCAAAAGACAACCTGTTCCCATTTAATACATAATTTATACTAAAAAGATAAAGCAACTAATAACTTTATTACAGTTTGAATTAATAATCTAGACTAGTTTCCTGCACTGAAGCCTGCCAACTTTAATCAGCACATTCATTACCCAAAGATATTGTTAGAATGTTACTTAGATTCACTAGGTAGACAGGATATTCATAGCTACCTGGAGATTCTCTATCATGAGCCAGAATTTGAATAATAAGTTTCTCAATCTCCCATGAACATAAGAATCACTAGGGGACGAGGGCTCTTATTCTTAACCACAAGACAAATGAAAATTAAAGGTACGTTGAGATTTCCTTTTATCCTAGTCAGAATGGATACGATACATAAAAACTAATGATGACAAATGCTGGCTCTGAAGTGGGAAATGGGAAGCACTTAATCACTACTTATAGGAGTGCTTACTGGTACAGCCACTATGGAAATCAGTGTGGTGGTCCCTCAAAGAACAGTAAATGGATCCAACATATAACACAATATACCACTCTTGGGCATATATCCAAAGTTCTGTCCTAAGAGTAGGCTGCACATTTTGAAGTTATGGGCAAGTGAGGTCACAAATACCCCCAAGCATTGCATGCTATTGGCAATGCTCTTGGTTCCCCTCAAGAACTTGATGATAAGAGCTAGCTACTGAAGACACCACATATTTGAATCTTAGAATATGGAAAAATCAAGATGGTGTGGACCTGTAAACTTTTCTACTGGTTGGCTTTCAAAATGCTGTTGAGGAGTTGTGCCAGTCTACCAGAGATCAGAATAAACATTGATTATAGTCAATAGTGTACCATGCAAGACACAATGCCTGTGCTAGCAAGACATGCCCACTAGAGCAATAGTGGCTTGAACAACATGCAAACAAGTAACGCTTTTCTGATTGGATTTAAAGCCCGCTCCACAAGCTGAAACCTATTTGTCACAATTATGGGACTGAGAAACTCTGACTAGACAGTTTTAGGTCCTAGGAGAGAACCTACTACTCCCACTCTGCTAAACATATATTATACTAAAACAAATCTTGATGATTTATTATTACACCCATAGATTAAGGTATCTCTCAACCTTCATCAGAGATGTTTCTGTTTGCACTAAATGATGATCAGAGCAATGACCCATAACTGGCCAAGATGCAAGGAGTAAGAGACTGAAGAATAGTCAAAACTAAATGGAATATGTATATTGTCTCCCCTCTTCCAAAGATGATAGAAAGAGTGTAAGAGCCAGATATTGTTGATGATTATAAAGAAATATTGTCTTTTGGACACAGAAGGGAAGCTGTACTTATGAACTCAAAGCTGCTGTGACAGGATACGTTAGACTTGTTAAGTCCAAACCAGAGCAAACTGCAGCATGGGAAGGAGAATTGGGTACAAAGACAAGCAATCAGGCAAAGAGTTATTGACAATTGTTGACTGCTGGGAAAGAGTTTTCTCTCTCTCTTTCTAAGAAGGTAGCTCCTGATTATTCACTGTGCTCCAGCAGAAGGGCACACATCTCAGAATATCTGAACAACAAAAATTGGTCTTGAGTAAGGAAAAAACCCACAAACCAGGATGGGAAGGGAAGTGGTGTAGTTATGGGAGTAGCTGGAGAAGGGTGGTTGGAAATGATCAAACTCATTACAATATTTTCAAAAAACTAATTTAAAATAAGATTAAAGAAAAAATACCAATTCTACATTTTTATGAATAGTACCTTAAACCCAACTAAGTCAGAATCTGGACTTTTATCAACATTTGAGAATTTATGTTCATTATTAATTATAACTAAAAAGTATTAAAAGTTCAAATTTTCACTAAAGAATGAATGGGTAAAAACTGTGATACACACATACACACACACACATATATATATACATTCACAATAAAATATTATTTAAGCATAAAAATAAAATACCGGTAGATACTAGAGTTATTAACTATAATTGTTTTAATTTTAATATGAATAAAACTTTTGTTAACAACTGACTCATTCTTTATATTAGATTATGACAAATGTCAATACTTCTTTACCAGTTGGTTGTCCAGTACCAAGTGGTCGGTCTTGAAAGCATATATGTAATTAACATTATATGGACTGGCCAGATTTTATTTATAAATGTATATGTACACACCTGTATGTATAAGAATACAGGTGGGGGTTCCTTGGACTTCCCACAGGACAGGGAACCCTGATTGCTTTTCGGGCTGAGGAGGGGAGGGGGACTTAATTGGGGGAGGGGGAGGGAAATGGGAGGCGGTGGCAGGGAAGAGACAGAAATCTTTAATAAATAAATAAATTTAAAAAAAGAATACAATAACAATTACTAAAACATAGGCCATGAATCTGAAGGAGAGCATGGTGGAGAGGCAAATGAAGGGATTAGAAGGAAGAAAGAGAAGGGAGAAATGTATTTACAGTGTAATATCAAAAGCAAAATAAAATAAAAGAAGATAAGAGATTTAGAGAAATAAATGACAGAAATGAATCATTGTTTTTGTTTTTAATTGAAATTTAATTTTCCCCTTTCATTTAATTCCTTCAACCGCTCCCAGATACTCTCCTTCTAACCTCTCTCAGGGCCCTTCTGCTCTCACTATGATAGTATTTTTTCTTTGATTATTATTGTTACATAATACACATATTTGTATATGATGTTCAAATATACACATATTTACATGTTTATAACATATACATAAAACAATACACATAGTCTCTATATATGCGCATGTATGGGTATATAATAATATATGCATGCGTGTTATTATACACATATAGTAACATATGTATGTATTTTTCTAATTATGCTGGTAGTATATTCAAGGAATTTTGAATATTAGTATATTTAAGACTTGGGATTTTGGTGAGGTCCTAGGTGTGTCATTTGTTATTTTGTGCAAATTCTTTGTAGTTTTTTATTGTTGTTATTTGAGGTTTGGGGTAGTGTCTATGTATTATTTTAGTTTTGTGTTGTGTTGTATGTTATTTATTTATTATTTATTTATTTCTAACTCATTGTACACTTCTGTCTGGGTATATACTTAGAATTGAGGAAAAATTAATCAAATAAATTATAAATAAATTTAAAAAATTTAGGCCAAATCAAGTAACAGACATACTTCATGATTTCACTAATATGAGGTATCTGAAATAGACAAATCTATAGGCATAGAAAATACTTTGTTTGTTGCCTGGGACAGATCATAAAACTGAAAATGACATATTTGCGTTGACAATGCTGAAGCATGCATGGGTAGTCTGTACATGGCAGCTCTGTTGAACTTGTCCATATTGGTTTCACGGTCTAAAATGATGAGGATGACTGACCAGGTCTAATGTATGTTTTTGATTTTTTCTAATGGGAGTAATAAATATTCTAGAATTCAATAATGGTAGCAATTATCCAGTATTATGAATGTGATTGTAAAATTAATATGTTTATTAATTTAACTCAATGAAAAGAAAAAATAAAAAAGGATTACAACGTAACATTACCTAAAATATCTGCTACATATTTTTTCTCTTTCATTTTTCACATACACACTCATACATTCACTTACATGCATATACATTTATACACACATTTATATGCACACATACAAACACAGATTACTCATAGTTACATATATACATATATACCTATATATACACGTACATACCTATACATATGTGTACACATGCAAACAGAAATATACACACATATACACCACATACACTTGTATGCACACATCACACTTACACTTTCATTTTCTGCTCCTGTACTGCCAGCACAAAACTCATGAAATGGCTGTGGACAAATTAATCACATAGCACAGCTATCTGCTCCTTTCACTCCTTATGGGCAAGTATCACCATAGGCTACAGATGACAGAAAAGCAAAATCTGCCAAGCTCTTCCCACTCCACCAGCCAATAATCAGCACAACATGGATCTGGACCCATGCAGGCTATTGTTAGCTATAATTGCATATGACAATTTTGATGTCACCAAATTAGAGACTCAGCAAGAACTAAGTGCACAACAGCTTCTTCACATGTACATCTAGAATCTGGGAATCTTGCTCAGAAACTTTTACATGGAAAAAAGTTTTCATGGAAACATATCTCCAAAATTAACTGAAAGTAAACCCAGCAGAGAGAGTTGAAAGTCTGGGAAGCAGACAGTTCAGAACTGGGCTGAGAAGAGTGCACAAATGAAGGAAAGTCTAGCTGTAGTTCTCATTTATCAACTGGAAAGCCAGACAGTTAACTGTCTATTCTGTCCAGAAACCTGTCTTCCAGCAAGGCTTAGATCCAAAAGACAGAGTAGGGCTACCCTCTGCATCTGCTCACATCTGCTTCTGTTAGCATCCCATTGTCAAATGTTCTCTGAGTGCCTCCCTCTTATAACCATTGTTTTCTTGTACAGATAATACTTTCCCAATGACAATGATTCTCTAGAAAATATCCCAAGATCATCAAGAATAAGAGGAACACAATGCTGACTCCAGAGCCTGCTTCCTAGAGGAGTTCTGATGGAAATAATAGGAATGTCTAGCCTTTAAGATGGTAGAGACTCTGACTGGATACAGGTGGCAGAGTAAATATGCAGAAACAGAAAAATACCTTGTGAGCTCTTCTTTAATCTTCAGGGGTTCATGTGGGTAGAATTTCACTCTAAAGCACATGGTGTATGGTGGATGAGCTGAAACATCATAAAGAAAAGATGTGAGATAAGCGGCAGAAGATCACAGACTCAGTCACACACAGGAACATCAGCCATGCAGCCTCCCAGACTAGCAGTCAAAGGAGGGGTGTTTAAACAGAAAATAACATGATGGTGACACAAAGAAAGTGCTTATAGCACATCCAGAGGAAATGCAGAATGCAAGCAATTGAGGAGGAAGCCCATCTTTCCTCATCCAACTCACCTTTATCCTTTCATCTCTCCAGGTTACAGGTCCACAGGAGTATTTTCTCCTGTGATACTTCCCACCCTCATGCAAAAGACAAACTGCCAGACAGCACCATCTGGCTTTTGGGTGCATGAAAGAATGTTTAGTGTATAAGGTGGAAAATTGTCATTGCACGTGTTCTTAAACCAAAAAGATAACTGAGATTTTAAAGAAGTTAGCCACATAGACACATGTAGGTTTTTATTATAAGCTATATATATAAGATTAAATGGAATTTTATTCTCTAATGTTTCTTTCAAGGTAAACAGAGCTTAAATCATCACCAGACAGTAAACAATATTTGAACTATTCTAGATGTAATTAAATTTGTTTCATAGAAAGAACCACAAGTTTTAAGTATGACTATACAATGAAGAAAATTCATATAGAAAATAATTATCACAACGATTTTATAATTGAGCTGGTGAGATAGCTTGGCAAAAGAAGAAGCGGACCTCTGAGCTTGAGGGCCTGAATTCAGTCCTTGAGACCTCCACAGTAATGTGGAGCACCAACTCCTGCAAGTTGTCCTTAGATATTCACATGCCATACACCAGATAAAAAATAATTATAGCTAAAAACAATCTAATAGAAAATACACTCATCATAAGGACAGCACTTTTATGTTAGCAAAGAAAATCTGAACACATACACAAATGAGTACACACTCATAAGCACACAGGAATCAGTATGCTCTTTTTATGCCAGAAATTTCTTGGGTTGTTGATACCAATGTGTTCCTGTGTTCATAGATTTAAGAAAGAAAGTTCTTGATGAGTTGATGCATACCTGCTGCATTTCATCTTTCAGGAAGCAGAGGCAGGAAAATCACCATGAGTCTGAAGCCAGACTCATCTACACAAGAGGTCTAGGTGAATGAGAGCTATTTAATGAGACCCTATATCATTAAAATCTAATTAAAGAAAAGAGGGACTGAGTAGATGACTCAGCGAGAAGAGTACTTACTGTGTAAGCAAGAGGACCCAAGATAAAGTTCCTAGTACACACAAAAGTCAGCCTGGCTTTGCAAACCTGCAGCTACTGTGCTGATGGGCAGATCTGGGTGGCTCCTGAGTTTATAGGCTAGTCAGTTTAGCCAGATGGTGTGTTTCAGGTTCAGCAAACAAGCCTGACACCCACCCCTTCCCCAAAATGGTATAAAATATTGAAAGAAGACAAACAATGTTCTCCTCTGGCCTCCAAATGCATGTGAACGGTGAATGCATATACACACCCAAGTACATATACTGTACACGCCATATACACAAATAAACACAATGACAAGTAGTATATTTTCTCAAGTACTTGGAAAAAAATGGGCACTTTTCATATGACAATAACACAACTTAGAAAAATACACTGAGTCTCAAGTCATTCATCCTTTGTATCTAAAATGTAAAATATTTTATCTCTGAACATTATCTAGAATTTATTTGATTTTTTGAAAAAAATATTTAAATTTTGAAACTAATGGATTTTGATTTTGATTATAAAATATTTGTACTTTTTATTATTTTTATTTTTCAGATTATAACTAGTTAATTTCTCCCTTTCCTTTCTTCCATTGGAACATACATTTAACAGAAAACTATTTTTACATGCAAAGAACAATTTTACCAAAGATTGAAGAGGATAATTTTCTCTATTTTGTGCATTTCTTCCTCCTTTATTGTATATTAAATCTTTCTAAGTGCAGTTTTAACATAAGTGATCATTATAGAGACAGATAAACACATAGATAGATGCCCAATACAAGGAAAGATAGGTAGGCCATTATCCTTCAGTTTATTTCTGTTCCTCACCTTTCATTGTTCAATATCTCATCAAATGCAATCTCTCCTCTTACTATTAACAAATTTCTTTATATCTATCTTTAACTTTTGTGAGAAAAAATATATATTCCCATATGCTTATATATGTGGAGGAATTTTTAATTATTCTCTCAAAAATAAATCAAACCATGCATGTTTCTTTAATTTCTTTCCTATAGAGGTGCACCTGCCCTTTCCTCTAGTAGGGTAGATATAATCTTTATACAATTCACTTTCCATAAGTTGTAAGAGATAATATTATATGCAAATCCAAATTTACTCACATATTTGCCTTTAATTATCATTTAGGTTATTTTCAAATTTTTATAATTAAAATATGGTGTGGTATGCATTATTTTATATAAGTCATGATACACTTCAAAACTGGAATGGTTGGGCCAATATGTACTTGAAAATGTTTCAAAGATACAGAAAATTAATTTCCTCACTGGAGGCAAAGTACAAGAAAGGCGAAAACAAAAGGTGCCCTCCAAGTAGGGCCATACTCTGCTATGACCTGGGCTTATTGTTTCCTACAGTGGTTGTAGCACATAGCTAAGCTCATCACACACAAGTCAAGAGTAAAGATCTTACAGAGAAAGATATAGCTTCACAGTAACCATCATTGAGTATTCCTGAGTAGAGGAACATCTCTACCCAGTCATCCTTACTCTAACCCAAAGTCTGACTTTGTCATGTAAGAATTCTACCTTATTAGAAAACAGTGCTTAGAGTACTACAGTTTTTGCTTTTTTAAAAGTTTTAAAATATTTATTTAACTTATGTGTATGACTATTTGGCCTTCACATATGTATGTGTATCTCCTCTGTGCTGGTGTTTGCAGAGGCCAGAAGAGTTACATTTTAAGGGCAATTGTTTGGTTTTCTTATATTGTCATAAAACCCATCATATTTTACCAATATTGGACCAACATCATTGGTTCCATGCAGACAACAAAATAGAGTTGTTTCAACTCTCTTTACTACAGAAAAAAACAAGGTGAAAAAATAGCCATCTACATATTGTTGTTGTTGTTTTCAACAAGGAGATAGAGGGAAGTCATTTATACTTTCTAGTAGGCACTGCCTTAGGGTGGTCCTGATATCTACCCATATCACCTGTATTACTGCTGAAAAGGAGCTTGTCTAAGTGCTAAATAATATCTGGCACTTACTGTTTGGAATATGTTCAAGGACTTCAATTTCCCTCTAAATAAATGCTTCTCCTCCTAAATAGATAATAAGCTTCTCTGCCCAATCTGGTACCCACATCTTTTTATTCTTTCACTTCAAAATAATGAAATGAGGTAAAGGGTAATTCTTACCTATGACAAAGCAGGCAGAATCAGAACAGAGAATTGGGGCCCAATCCTAACTGTGCCATCATGAAAAGCCATTGTGAATTGTTTTTAGGCCAGTTAACATTGTCCCTCCATAGTTTTACATCTCTGCTTTGGTACTTAGCTTCAGCAACCATCACAGGGCACACAGGATGGGTTATGGGCTACCATATCCCTTTTAAGACAGGACCCCAAGCTTTAAAGGGAACTTCCAGGAGTGTCCTTGAGCAAACACCTATCTTTTCTACTTCTTGTTTTGAAAGAGAGGTTTGGATGGATCTACCGAATTTTTGGTGTATTTACAGGAGACATTAGCTAAGCATAAGATTTCTTCTTAGGAAACATGCTATTATCAGGAGAGACTTAAACAGAAGTTATAAATGGGAGGGAAGAGAAGGGAAAGTGTAATTGAGCCATGTAATTTGTGTGTATGTGTTTGGGGGAGGGGTGTTGACACTCTCCTAGAGAAGCAGCAGCAAAGGGAAAAATATGCAAAACCCATTTTAAATGGCAGGATCATACAAATGCTCTGGGAAACACAGGAGTATCTACTGACTGAAAGACCAGTTATCATTTGAGGGAATATCAGTGGTCCCCTTTGCATCAGCAGATCCCTAAATCCCCCTCTTTTGGTAGTTATTCTTTTCAGAAATGATTTCCTTCTCTTCAGAAATATTTTTTATGCATTTATTTGTTTCTTTAAAAATTCATACAATATATTTTGATCAGATTCTTGAAGCCATCCCACTGAATTCAGGAATGAGACAGGGCTATCCACTCTGCCCATTCCCTTTCAATATTGGGCACAAAGTGCTATCTGGGGACTTTAAAGGGAAACAAACAGGGAAAGAGTAAGTCAAGTTATTTCTGTTTGCAGATGATATGAAATTTTATATAAGACATTTCAAAAATTCTGTCAGAAAACATGTAGAAATGATAAACAAATTCAACAATGTGTCAAGATAAAGATTGAGCTCATACCAATCTGTGGTTTTACTACAAAGCAACAACAAACATATAGAGAAAGGAGTCATAGACACTTCCACTCTGAATAACATAAAAAATTATCTAGAAATAAACATAATCAAAGAGGAGAAAACCTTGAAGATCTAAAGAAAGACATAGAGAAAGACATGGAAAATGGAAAACACATCCCATGCTCATGGATTGGTAGAATTAATATTGAGAAAATGACTATTTTACAAAAACTATTGACAAATTTAATATAATCCCAATCAAAATTCCCTTCTGATTCTTTACAGCAATAATCATAATTACCCTCATAATTATCATCTCCTAAAATTTATATGAAATCACAAAAGTTCACAGAGCCAAAACAATCCTGAGCAAAAAGATCAATGCTACAAGGGTTACTATTTCAAGCCTCAAGTAAGGAGCCAGAGCAATAAAAACAAGATTATACTGGCAGAAAAATAGACATGGATATCAATGGGACAAAACTGAAGCTTCTGTCACAAGAACACATCACTTCAGCCACTTAATATGAGACAAAGTTGACAAAAGCATCTCATGGGGAAATCTAAGCATCTTCAATAAATAGTGCTGGGAGAATCAGATGCCCACAGAGAGGAGAATGAAA